ATGCTTTAAATCGCATGTGTTCAAACAGAATGTGCTCTTTGAGTAGTAATTTATAGTGTTTTCTAGTAAATCTTGGATAACTTAGATTTAAATTTGTGATAAAAGATTATTTGATTTCCAGTTATATTTCCTCTAAATCCTGTCTCACTTATTTCTGTCTTGTCCTTTGTATTGTAATATATTTGCCTGAGTAGATCCTTGAATTTTTAGCTTTAAATCGTGTCATAAATCTGGTGTCTATTTCTATGCATGCGTCTTGTCAGCCTAGCAACTTAAGGAACTATCATAGAAAGGCAAATTTTCCAGTAACTGAGCATACCTTTGTATCTTCCTAATGCATGGAAGAGTATAGTATGTCACACATAAGTGTAATGTTGTCAATATATTGTAATGAATAACTGATGTTTCATTGGAAATGTTTAAACTGACCTGCCACATCACAAGTTACTGTTCTCTTGGCAATCAGCCATCCATGGAACATGGGGACAGATGTCAGTGCTTGCTATACTCAGAGCTTTTGCCTCTAACCATTGCATGCGTGTGTATAATAGATGGAAAATTTAGGATTTGAAAGGAGGGAATGATTGAAGCAGAGCCATAGGCTTTAGATGGAGGAAAAACAGTTTTCTCTGATATGGAAGGCTAGAACTTAGTAAGCACTGCTCTCTGCCGGGTGCCAAACTCAGTACTTGGCCATTTTTTTGCTATATTTAGTCCACAAGCACATCCCCGTGAGAAACCAGTTGCTGTGCTTGCCCCCAATTACAGATGTGGAAACTGAAATTTAGATCACATGATGTGCAGAGCAGGTATAAGTTAAGTCTGTTTTGATTCCAAAACCAGGACCATTTCTCCCTTGAGCCTGGATTTTTCAAGATGTTCTGATCTGCTGACAGTCTCCCTCTCAGAGGAAACCTTGGAAGTAAAAGCGGTGCCCTGGAAGCAGTGGGGATTGCGGAGTTTTCTTTCTGTCAGTCTAGAAGCTCCCCCTAATGCCTGCTGCCTCTGGCCCTGTGCCATGCCCACTTCATGCTTCCTGCCTTCCTGGTGGTGCACTTGTGGGGCAGTGCTGCTGCAGGTGCCAAGTGGTGATTGTCCTCAGCAGCTGTGTGTGAGCTTCTCTATGTGGCTGAGCAGAAGTGTAATTTAGTAAGGACACAGGTACAGATCCTCACTCTGTTGCTGATTAGTTCCTGGCCTGGGAGCTGTTCCTTGGCCCAGTGGAACCATGGCTTGCTCTCTTGTAAGTGAGGTAGTGATCCACACAGTAGTGCTGTTTGGAATGGCCCTGATCTGTGCCCGCCCAAAGTGAGATGCCGCGCTTTCACCAGCAGCTGGCCTCAGAGCTTACCTCTGTTCAGTGGACTTCAGTGTGGTTTGGATATTTTGGTTTTGGCAGTAAGAATTTCTCAGCAAAGGAAGCAGTCTGTTGACTTAGACTCAGACACTGTAGCCTCGTCTTGTTCACTAGTCATCTCTCCTCAGCATGCAGCCTGGTGACTTAGAGGAGACTTGCTCTGGGCTGGCTATGAAAATTAGCCTAGCAGTGAGTCTACGGACAGCAAATATGGACCAGACAAAGACTGGTATGGGATGGTTACTTTTACACTTTAGTTTTACCTGGCAGAGCGAGGTGACTTCTTGGCACTTGTAGAAAGGTCTGAGACAAGGCAGTGGGTCCTAGCCTTGGGTTTCCTCTCACAAGAGAACAGAGGCAGAATGAAGGCCTGGTTCAATGAGCCTAGAACGCTCTGGGCAGAGCGGGGCCAATGTAGGGGAGTCTTGGTGCAAGAATCTCTTTTTGTGGGTGGAGCATACGTATAGTGCCTTACCTCTTCTTTTTTCTTTTCTATTTTAACAAATAATTGTTTTAACCTGAAATTTTAAATGATGCCTGGTAAACAACATGGTCTTAAGTTTGATTTTTGGGTCCCTCCCAAAAATATTTTTGAACTTTTATGATTCTTGTTAGTAATTTCAAGCATGATGGCCTTCTTTAGAGATGAGATTGCTGGACGTTAAACACGGGGCCTTGAACATACTAAGTAAGCATGCTCTGATTACCCCAGCCCACAGCAGTCTTGTTTTGTTACTACAATTAGAAATGAGAGTCAGACAAGGTGGTATATGCCTGTAATCCCAGCACTCAGGAGGCTGATACAGGAGGACTGCTGGAGTTTGAAGCCAGCCTGGACTACAGTGTGAGTTCATGGCCAGCCAGAACTGTATAATGAAACCTTATCTCAAAAAAGAGAGAGAAAGATACAGAATTTGTCTGTTTATCTGTTGAGATTATATTATATGTTATATATCCTAATTTAAGATTGCATCCTAAGTTAACATTGTATCCTATGTGATTTTAGACTTGCAGCCTCTAGAACTGTCAGAAATAATTATCTGTTGTTTATTAATACCCAGCCTATGACTATGGTAGTTTTTTTTTTTTTTTATAGTAGCTGGAAGTGACTGGGAGAGGGAGACTGCTAACAACATAAAGCCTCCTCATCTAGATGAGCATGAAACTAGATTCCACAGTGCTTAAAAATAGATAATACTAAGACATGCTTACAGAGATGACTACTCACAAACAGGTGCCTATTTCACTCGATCACAAATGGGTGGAGAATCTGCCAAAACTGCCAAAATAAGTGAGCATGATACTTAGAGACAGATTAACATCCATAGTAACAGGGACTGGCGGTAAAACGAAGCAGGTATGACAAAAAAACAACTTGGAATCTAGTAAATGAAGCAGACCTTAGCTAGAATGATACAGTCTGTTGTGGACATGGTCAAAGACGGAGCATTGGCAGTAAGTCACCAAAGGTGAGCCAGATTGCAGCAAGAGAGACAAAATGAGAAAAATTCAAGGCCCTCAATTCAGGCAGGCCTAGAGGCAGGTCCACCTATTGATGTGATAGGTGTGTGAATAGAATTGATTTGATTTTTGACTTAGAGTAATTAGAGTCTACTTTTCTTCTACCTGCCCCAGAATCTTTCTGATAAAAGATTCCATTAGAGAGAGGGCACACTCTGTCAGGAATGGTACTTATTAGGTGACCTGACAGTGAGCTCTTGCTTATCACCATGACCGATGCCAGTTAGTACCTCGATCAGGGCCGTGTTGGCATCTACAGGAGAAATCTGTACCACAGGGAAGAGCTCACACTTAGTAGAGAACATGACAGAAGTCTAGATGGCCGGCTGGCCAATACCCTTTCCCCTACTGCTTCGCATCCACAAGTCCCATTCCTGAAGGTTGGCTTTGGGCCTATGAAGATGTCTCAACACTGGCTGGAACTCTGTCAGGTTTTAAGACACATTTGGATGATTTTTACCTGGTTGGCAGGCAGGAGCAAGCAGACCCTATGTTAGTGGCCTTGGTGAGGGGGCATTTGAGTGTGAGGAGACAATCCTGCATGGCAGGTCCAGGGAGCAGAGCCTGTGTTGTTGGCCTGGGGAAAGGACCTTACCTTGTTGGCCTGGGGGAAGAAGGGACCTTCAGTTGGTCTGGATATGAGAATCATGTGTTGCTAGCTGGGAAAGAGAAGGCTCTGCTGGCCTGGGGAGAAGAATCTCTATGTTGTTATCTGGGGAGCCACCATGGTTTTGGCCTGGTGAAGGGCCCTGTGTTTTTGGCTGGAGGAGTCCGCTATGCTGAGCTGGGTGGGGGAGGCAAATAGAAGTCCTAATTCAAATACCATGGACTCCTGGCCTTATTCCTGATATTTCTTGAATAGATAATTTCCTCATTTGCTGTTATCCTTTGAGCCATTTCCAGAAGCTTTGAAGAGTGGTTTTCATCATTTCAGGTCTCCCTGGGGAGCAGGCTGCAAAGTTCCTGCCAGGCTAAGTTCGGCTCACCCACAGTCGTGATTTTTTGGAGAAGAAAAACTAGTTTAAAAGAAATTTTGCTCTTTTCCAGTGCTTTCTGTGGCAGTGTCATCTCTATTTCTCTCTCACTTTACTTGCCCAATCTCACTGTGGCTCACATAGGCACATGAGTCGTGGTCTGGTTAAAGCAGACTTCATGGGCCTGTGCTTTCTGTGATGAGATTGACTGTGAGCTGCAAACAATTGCTACCAGTGCCCTGTAAGAGCATCGCCTGTTTTAAACTAGCTTTCTAGAATTATCTAGCTCAAGCACATGTTCTTTTGAAGGACTGATTATTTATCCGGTAGATCTTTATTCTTGTCTTTTAAAGGAAAAGCACCTAAAGCCAGAAACACTGGCAGATGATTTTACTTATTTCAGAGTTGCTTTGCTCCAAATTCACATTGCTCAATTCAGTTCATTTGTGGTATCTGTGAACCGGTGTCATAACACAAGGTTTAGCACAGAACAGTGCTGCAGGACTCCTGCAGCTTCTCTCTGCCTTTTGCAAGATCTCCTACACTGCTGCATGCATAGTGTTTTGAGAATGCCTTTACAGAGAATACAAAAGGCTTCCTAGTCCTAGCAGTAAGCCCATTCTTCATAGTTGACTTTGCTCCAATGATTCAGGGAGACTATAGGGACTAAGGGAAAATCAGAATAGAGAGGGGACTAGAATTGGATAGTGACCTTCTAGGCCTTTTTTCCTTGATTTCTCTAAGGGCTCTAGGTCTCAGATCTGTGACTGACTTACAAATGTCTTCAGATGCTTCATTTTGGGATGCCAATTGAGGAAAATGCTTTTATTTCCTGAAGTCTAAAGAGGTGGACCTGGACACTCATTATCCCCTGCTGTGCTTTCAGCAGTGCCAGGGTGGAGGGAAGTCAGATGGCCTGGGTTAGACTCTCATTCCATTGGGAATACCTATGTCACCTTACGGCAAATGGTTGATCTCCATTTCTCTGGAGGAGAATGGGAATCCTTTGCCATGTATCTTGAGATTGGGTTGCCTGTGTGTGTGGACTATGAGGCCAATGGAAGTCTTGCTTAAGAGGTTTTTTTTTTTTTTTTTTTAAATTTATTCATGTATGTGTTGATTTATTCCTTTACTTTGCTGCTTTGCAGGAGTCTTCAACGCTTGCAAAAGAGCTCAACATTTGCAGGGAACAGCTGCTTGAGAAGGAAAAAGAAATTGCTGAACTGAAAGCAGAAAGGAACAACATGAGGGTCAGTGGAGCTCTGGTTTAAGTGTTTTGTGCTTTTTCCTTCTGTAGAGTGTGTTCAGTATTAAATGTTGCTTAAAATTTGTGATAGAAGGCAAAGCATGGTGGCATATGCCTTCAATCCCAACATTCTGAGCCAGGAATGTCTTGAGTTAGAGGTCAGCCTGGGCTAGCTAGTAAGTCCTCAAGCCAGCCTAGACTACAAAATGAGACCTTCTTGTTAATAAAAGAAATTAGTGATGGAAATTCATGACATTCGAATACAATTGAGGGAAATTTACCTAACTCTACTGAATTGTAGGAATTTGAACTTGTTTGACCATGAGATTATGAAGGATTTGAATGTGAAATTGAAGGTGCTCTTTACACGCCCTCTTTGGCCTGGTTTCAGCTGCTCCTGGAACATCTGGAGTTCCTTGTCTCCAGGCATGAACGCTCTCTCGAAACGACTGTGATGAAGCGGCAGGCGCGGTGTCCTGCAGGTGTGTCCACAGAGATGGAAGTGCTAAAAGCACTGACATCCTTATTTGACCACCACAAGACCCTGGATGAAAAGGTACATGAGCTACACTAGTGGTTCTGGGTTCTTACACTTGCTGGGTTCATGGCAGACTTTGCATGTGTTTGTTTACCTTTAAGGTTTGCTAAGTTTTTGAGTTCTTGTAAACAGACTTTCTGTATTAAAAGGCAATGTTCTGCATAATCAACAAACACTAACTGGAATGTGAGTCTTCAATTGATTATTTCTGAATATTGACTGCCCATTAAGAACTGGATAGTGTTCATTTATTTAGGAACAAGAGTTTCCTGGCCTTAATATTTAAAGCCATTAACAAGGACATTTTCTTGACAGTACTAGCAATGAAAGACATTGAAAGTACTTTATTATATGCCTTTCATCAATATCAGGATAACTATATGGAAAGTGTGCGTATGCATATAAAAACTCAACTCTTTTCAGGTGCGAGAGCAATTACGTGTAGCTCTGCAAAGGTGCAGCTTATTAGAAGAGGAACTGGGCGCCACGCACAAGGAGGTAATTGTGGGACATCATCCTAGCCCTGAAAAGGGAAAATTATTTTATTTTAATCTCTTAAAAAACAGTGTGAAGCCTGTAATACTTTTGGATTAGATTTTTATTTCAGATTGCAAGAATCTCTAAATTTGTTGTCAAGCAGTCAGTACATCCTGTTTCTAGTAATCTGGTTCTGCTATGGATGGTCAGCTTTGGCATGTACTGTCTTTTTTATACTATGTTCAGCACTGTAGAATTATGTTTTTCCAAATGGAATTTTGCTGTCTTTACTCATTACTCTTCCATAAGTTATTGTAGTCTCATACTCAGTTTTTGATTGTAGCTAATGACTCTTAAAAAACAGAATGATCAGAAAAAATCACCAAGAGATGGAGTGCTTGACCATGAAGAAGAAGAAACACCAAGCACTAGTGGAAAGGTAAGTCCTTGAGATCTCTCTTTGTTCTGTTGCTGATTTCTTATATTTTGTGGTTCGTGTGTGATGCTGTTTGGATGCTGTTGCTGGAATGGCCTGCTTCCAGCTAAAGTGATTGTTGAGAGTCCTATCATCCAACAGATGGCATAAATCCATTTTGATAGTCCCTATGTTCAAAAGTATTTTATTTGGTAGTACACTAAGGTTATTTAAGAGTGTCCATTTTACCCATCAGAGATCTTCTGCTGGCTCCTTAAGCCATGAGGAAGACCTTGCCAAAATAATTGTGCTCCAAGAAGTCATACACAAACATTCAAAAGAGCAGAGTCAGATGAAGGAGCTCCTGGCTGCACTTTCCAGCCATGTGTCAGAGCTGCAAGAAAATCTTGACACAGCAAGAAAGGATCTCATCAAGTCTGAAGAGATGAACAAGAAATTGGAACGAGATGTTCATGAAATAAGTGATAAAAATTACAGGGTTGTCATAATGTTGAGTGCTTGGAGTGTTAAGGATAATGATTCCTTTTTTTTTTTTTTCCTTTCCTTGGTCGGTTATTTTCAGCATTTGCACTGTTGAATGAGTATAAATATGAATAATACAACACAGTATTGCTGTCAGATCGTGACATACCGCCTCCCCCTGGTTGAGAAATTTCTCCTTTTCTGTGGTCTTTTAAAAAGGTAGAGGAGAACTTGCCTAGCTTTTCCCACTTAGTTTATGGGAGTTTGTCCTCCACCCTCATGTGGATTCTTCATCTTTGCAGCTTCTTGGCTGTCATCATGTGTTCTTCTTTATGTTCAGCTTCTCAAGTACATGCACTCCTTAAACAAGGATTTTCAGTACTAGTTGTGCTTTGAGTTCGCTAAAGAGATGTGAGTATTCTCTGGGACTGTGGCAAAGGGAGCATTATCAGGTGTCTTCTAATTTTTTCATATTTTTCCTCAGGCACAGAGGTATGGTATTGAATTTTGGATGTTACATCAGCTCTAATGTGTGAATAGTTTTTGGGTAGTTTAGGCTTTGTGCTTATCTTGCCTATGAGATCTCATTTCATGTGAAATTGTATTTACAACATTCTGCTTTGCACCTGTACTTGTATCTTTGGTTTTATTTCTCTTGCTATACATTTTACTTTTTAGTGGCATTCTTAGCCAGAATATAATCAAATTAAGCAAGTCATTTTAGTGGAATGTTCAGTGTCAGCAGTCTGTTTTGTGACATTTGGATGTATTTATAATTTATACTGTTAACTAACTGAGCAATATTTTTCTTTTCTTTTCCTGTTTTTTTTTTGGACATATTGGGTTTGAACCTAGGGTTTCTCACATACTAGGCAAGCACCAAACCACTCACCAAACCATTTTCTTTTCTTTTTTCTTTTCTTTTGGTACTATGAATTGAACTCATGATGTTCTGCTTGACAGGCAAGTGCTATGCCGTGGAGCTATATCCCTGACCCTTTTTCTTCTTTTCAAACTTATTTTATTTATTAGTGTTTGGTTTTTTGAAAAAAGGATCTTGTGGTGTAATTCAAGCTGGCCTTGAACTCATGGCAGTTCTCCTGCCTCAGCCTCTCACATGCTGGGATTACAGACATGTGGCACCAAGCCTGGCATTGTATTTTCATCTTTTTGACAATCTCATTTATCAGTTGTGTCCTTCTTTCCAGTATTTGTAAAAGAAGTGCAGCAACACATCTGTAATCCCAGCTACTTGTGGACTGAAGTGGGAGGTTTGCCAGTTTAAGGTCAGCCTGGGCAATTTAGGAAGACACTGACTCAAAAAGAGCTGAGTATCCCAAGCATAGTGGGTGAACCCTATCTTTCTAGCTACCCAGGAGACTGAGGCAGACAATCATAAGTTCAAGGGTAGGCTGCCCAATTTAGCAAGACCTTGTTTTGAAATTAAAAGGAAAAAAATATGGGACCATAGCTCAGTGTTAGAGTACCCCTGCCTTCTATTCCCAGTACCACACACAACCACGGAGGAAAACTCTTTCTTCCTGGTTCTCTAATTCAGCATGCTGGCTGACGGTCTGTGTGCTTCCATTGTTGGTTTTGATTTCTTATGCCACCCTTGTGTTTGTTTTATTTTAACCATCTCCAGATTCAATTCTAATCCAGGCCTCAGGTCCCTATCAATTTGTAGTTTGTCCATGAAGCTCCCCTCTCAGCCCCTCCCCATTCTGTGATGGCTCTGCACAGCTAACCAGGCAAGCACGTGTGAGTCTGAGCTGGATTATGACTGATTAGTGGGGCTTGGGGTTTTTGTCATTAAAAATGTATTTTGCTCAGTAGTGATCAATTATATTTAATATATAATTTGTCAATGTGGTTACAAGCAAGATATAATTGGTTGAATGTTTTTCCTTAGATTGTACAGGATCTGCATGATTCATGAGTGAAGTATTTCCTAGGTTAAAAAATAATCTGGGCTCACTGCAGTGGCACATACCTGTAATGCCAGCTACTGGGGAAGCTAAGAAGGAGGATTTTAAGTCTGAGGCCAGCATGAGAAGTTTAGCAATGTGCTATGTCAAAATAAAAATATAAACGTGGCTGGCAGTGTAGTTTGTTGAGTGGCCCAGCTGGATTCAACCCTGCATACTGCAGGAGCAAGGGGAGGGGCCACTGCTGAGTGTAAAATTTATGGGAACTTTATACAGACAATACGAATCAGATTTTATTGATTATAATCAGAATTCTAAATCTCATCAACTTATAGGGCATATGCTATAGTCTTTAATGGACTACTTTTTAATTAAAATGCCTCCTATCTAGTACTGTGCTAGCTTTTATTGTTACGTATTTTAGGATGCCTAGCTTTCTTTCTTTTTTTTTTTTTTTCCATTCCATTCCACTCCTTTGTATTCCACAGTATCTCGGATGGAATCTAGGCCTGTGCACTGAGATACACACGTGACCCTTTTTTTTTTCAGTATTATTTTTTATTGTGAGACAGGATCGTGCTAAATCACCAAGATGAGCTCAAACTTGGCAGCCTTCCTGCCTCAGCCTACCAGAGTGCTGTGATTTCATGTGTATGCCACTGCACGAGGGATAAATGATATATTTTAGGAAGTTGTAAATCATATTCTAGGTGAAGATTTTACTGCATTGCACAAAAAATGATTAACTAAAAATAAGTTTGTTCAGTTTTTTGTGTTTTTCTGAGACAGGATGACACCATGCAGTTCAGGCTGGCTTTGAACTCATGTAGTGCAGGTTGGCAGTTCTCCAGGCTTAGCTTCACAAATGCGGGGATTACAAGTCTGCACCACCATGCCTGGCTCTTCAGTTTTATAATAGATGTTGCTGTAACATCCTTGTCATCATGGGAATATTAGAGAGTAGGTGGTTATCAGGGCCCTTTGTTCTATACAGTGTCTTGCTTTAAATCGCATGTGTTCAAATAGAATGTGCTCTTTGAGTAGTAATTTATAGTGTTTTCTAATAAATCTTGGATAACTTAGATTTAAATTTGTGATAAAAGATTATTTGATTTCCAGTTATATTTTCTCTAAATCCTGTCTCTCTTATTTCTGTCTTGTCCTTCATATTGTAATATATTTGCCTGAGTAGATCCTTGAATTTTTAGCTTTAAATCGTGTCATAAATCTGGTGTCTATTTCTTTGCATGCGTCTTGTTAGCCTAGCAACTTAAGGAAACATCATAGAAAGGTAAATTTTCCAGTAAGTGAGCATAGCTTTGTATCTCCCTAATGCATGGAAGAGTATAGTATGTCACACATAAGTGTAATGTTGTCAATATATTGCAATGAATAAGTGATGTTTCATTGGAAATGTTTAAACTGACCTGCCACATCACAAGTTACTGTTCTCTTGGCAATCAGCCATCCATGGAACATGGGGACAGATGTCAGTGTTTGCTTCACTCAGTGCTTTTGCCTCTAACCATTGCATGCATGTGTATAATAGACATAGAATTTAGGATTTGAAAGGACGGAATGATTGAAGCAGAGCCATAGGCTTTAGATTGAGGAAAACCAGTTTTTTCTGATATGGAAGGCTAGAACTTAGTAAGCACTGCTCTCTGCCAGGTGCCAAATGCTTGGGCATTTTTTTGCTATATTTAGTCCACAAACACATCCCTGTGAGAAACCAGTTGCTGTGCTTGCCCCCAATTACAGATGTGGAAACTGAAATTTAGATCACATGATGTGCAGAGCAGGTAGGAGTTAAGTGTGTTTTGATTTCAAAACCAGGACCATTTCTCCCTTGGGCCTAGATTTGTCAAGATGCTCTGATCTGCTGGGAGTCTCCCTCTCAGAGTAAAACTTGAAAGTAAAAGCAGTACCCTGGGAGCAGTGGGGATTGTGGGGTTTTCTTTCTGTCCATCTAGAAGCTCCACCTAATGCCTGCTGCCTCTGGCCCTGTGCCATGCCCGCTTCATGCTTCCTGCCTTCCTGGTGGTACACTTGTGGGGCAGTGCTGCTGCAGGTGCCAAGTGGTGATTGTCCTCAGCAGCTGTGTGTGAGCTTCTCTATGTGGCTGAGCAGAAGTGTAATTTACTAAGGACACGGGTACAGATCCTCACTCTGTTGCTGATTAGTTCCTGGCCTGGGAGCTGTTCCTTGGCCCAGTGGAACCATGGCTTGCTCTCTTGTAAGTGAGGTAGTGATCCACACAGTAGTGCTGCTTGGAATGGCCCTGATCTGTGCCCGCCCAAAGTGAGATGCCGCGCTTTCACCAGCAGCCGGCCTCAGAGCTTACCTCTGTTCAGTGGACTTCAGTGTGGTTTGGATATTTTGGTTTTGGCAGTAAGAATTTCTCAGCAAAGGAAGCAGTCTGTTGACTTAGACTCAGACACTGTGGTCTCCTCTTGTTCACTAGTCATCTCTCCTCAGCATGCAGCCTGGTGACTTTGAGAAGACTTGCTCTGGGCTGGCTGTGAAGATTAGCCTAGCAGTGAGTCTACGGACAGCAAATATGGGCCAGACAAAGAGCGATATGGGATGGTTACTTCATTTCAGTTTTACTGGGCAGACTAAGGTGACTTCTTGGCACTTGTAGACATGTCTGAGACAAGGCAGTGGGCCCTAGCCTTGGGTTTCCTCCCACAAGAGAACAGAGGCAGAATGAAGACCTGGTTCAGTGAGCCTGGAAGGCTCTGGGCAGAGCAGGGGCTAGTGTAGGGGAGTCTTGGTGCAAGAATCTCTTTTTGTGGGTGGAGCATACGTATAGTGCCTTACCTCTTCTTTTTTCTTTTCTATTTTAACAAATGATTATTTTAACGTGAAATTTAAATGATGCCTGGCAAACAATGTCCTAAGTTTGATTTCTTTTTCCCTCCCAAAAAGTTTTTTTGAACTTTTATGATTCATGTTGTTGATTTCAAGCTTGATGGACTTTTTTAGAGATGAGATTGCTGGCGGTTAAACACAGGGCCTCAAACAAGCTAAGTAAGTGAGCTCTGGTTACCCCAGCCCCCGACAGTCTTTTGTTTTGTTACTACAATTAGAAATGAGAGCCAGACAAGGTGATATATGCCTGTAATCCCAGCACTCAGGAGGCTGATAAGGGAGGACTGCTGGAGTTTGAAGCCAGCCTGGGCTATCATGTGAGTTCATGGCCAGCCAGAACTGTATAATGAAACCTTATCTCAAAAAAAAGAGAGAAAGATACAGAATTTATCTGTTTATCTGTTAAGATTATATCCTAGCGGGCTGGAAGTTTAGCTCAGCAGCATAAACGCCTGCCTTGTAAGCAGGCAGTCGTGAGTTCGATCCCCGGCACCAAGAAAAAGGAAAAAGACAAAAAAAAAATTATATCCTAAATGCTCTCAGCTCACACTAGTCTAGGTGGTCTTCAGTGAGCTGCTACAGGACTATAATGGAATCTGTATCCTTTATACCATTGTACAGATAAATAAATTAACTATTCACCACTTGTTCACCATGAATGTTTCATGAAATCTAGTCCTGCTTCAAAACCCAAAAATAACAACCTTCTAAACAGGGCCTAACCAGACCCTGAAAGAGTTCACATATGCACTATTTCCACAGTCCTGCCTTCCTCAACACATAGGCATACTCATGGGCCATCCCCTAAAAGAAATCCCAGGGTCTGCGTGACCCTCTTTTAATAATATACCCAGGATTATTATTTTTTTTTATTTAAGGAGAAAAAGAAAAAAAAAACAGAAAAAGGATACAAGTGATACAGAATTTCAAAAAAAAAAATAAACAGTAGGAAGTCACTAGTTAATAGATTACATACTGTCATCTTAGAAATGGTTGTTCAGATTACAAAATTAAAGCATATAAAGTAGCCATTCAAACTGTGAGACTACAAACAATTCTGTTCAATGATCCCACAAAAACTTAGCAATATGGTTATCTATCTTATACACTTAAATATACATGCAATTATATCCTTTAGAGCACTTTCTTTTCCTCTCTTTTTTACTATGACAATTATACATTTTGGGTTTTATTACTCCCACAGTTCTTATTACTTTCTATTTGAAGAGAATAAAATCCAATGTGACATAACAAAACAGAGTCAGTCAAATCAAAAGAATGGATATAGTACATAATATAAAAGCGGAAGACAAAGTGATGATCATTGGTTACCATAATGCCTCTTGCTATCTTAAAAAGAATTGCCTATATCATCAGTTATAATAAAACTGAAAACATTAAAGAACAAAACCAATAAAAGCAAAACATTGGAGACATTGCAGGACTTCAAAAAAAGATAATATGCAAACCCAAAACCCAGGATTATTTTATGAAGCCACATGGAAGTAGGGTTTTAGGCTGCATGCAAATGCTTCTGCTCATAACATTTGGTCCACACAGTGAGAAACAGAAGCCACACACATGCATATTTGGGTCTTCGCTCATGCTGTCCTTGTCTTGTTTCTTGCTAGAGGTAAAAGTATTGACAGTTTCCCTGAGGCTTCGGACCCCACTAGTGTTCCTTTGAGTGACATCAGTAACTGAAGATATGTGTCACAGGCTCTTCAGTAATGAGAGTAACTTTGTTAACCTGAAGTGATAAAGTGCAGTGAACAGGCTTCGTTTAGGACTTCACTGTCCCTCAGTAACTATCCTCAGAGGTACCTGAGGTTGTACGGAGAACAGAATCTTGAAGGGGGGGTGATGCTGTCCCTGGGCTTCCCGGGGCTTCCATGAAGGAAGGCTATAGGTCAACCTGCCCTGCTCTCTCTCTGCTATGTGGTCCATTTCCCCCAGACAAACAGGCCTTCAGGTTGGCATTCAATTAAAATGAGACTTCTCAGGACAGGTAGAAAGTTTAGCTAATAGGTTTTGAGTCAGTTTATGTTATTTAAAGCCTATGTGATGTGTTTTCTTATAATGTACTGTTAGCTGATGTTGTTTTTTCACTCCTCAGTTGCTAGCTTGCAGAGAAGAAGAACGAGATGACAAGACAACGATAAAATGTGAAACTTCCCCTCTCTCCTCTCCGAAGTCCCTTCAGCTAGACAGGCTGCACACAGGGGCGTTGCAAATAGTCAGCCACGAGGACATCAGGGACATGCAAAAGTAAGGAGCAGGTCTTGTAGGCCACCAGACCCCTGAGAAACCTGCTTGTCTTAGTTTTTAAGAACATCTATTAATCTTTTCCTGTGAGAAAAACCAAGTTTTTAAAGAATTCTCAGCAAGCTCATTTGGTTGTGATTATTTAAACGTTAGACCTAGAATGTGTTCTCCTGTTCTGCGGCTGTAGTGACATCCAGTGGAAAAGGCCATCTGTTTGGGCAAAGTTTAGAAAGAATAGGAATTATTTGAAATTAGCACTTGAGAGAAAAGCTCCATTTCTTCAGATCCCACACACTCACTTCTTTTAAGAACTTTCTTTCTATTCCTGGTGAAGAATTTGCCACACGGATGTGGCAGGTTCTGGATCGTGCTATTCTGTGGACAATCGGTGCCTCTCAGGTACCCTCCCACACTCTGGGTCTTCTAAGCTCTTGAGAGTCCCACATTGTCCCTATCTCTTTAGGAAGCATGTTCCATCAGGAGGCCATGAAGGCTTGGTTACTTATAGACTGTTGTTTTCCACACTTCCTCTTAGAAGCTTTTGTTCCATACCAGGCAGTATGATCAAGCAGGCACATTGGTCTCCACAGTGTCCTGAGAGATAGTACAGCTCTCACTTTGCAGGAGAGCAGGATCCAAGGAACCAGCCTGCAGGAGCTGCTGAGAGGGAAGGTGGAATTCCAGTTCTTCTGGCTTCTGAGACCTTGTTCTCTTTCCTGAGGGCTGAGTGTAAACCTCACTGGCTGAGCAAGGCCCCTGCAGAGGGTGTTCCCTTAGATGTCCAAACCAGGCAGGCTAGAGTACAGGCCTCCTCTGAGCAGGGAGCAACATCAGAATCTTGGCTTTCCAGACATAGGTCTGTGGAAGCATTACTGGGACCCTGCATTGCTATGCATAGTGTGCTGTGGGTAAGAGACTGGAAAGGATCTTCAGGGAGTTGAAGTAGGAATATTAAAAATGCAGACTGTTTTGGTACATGTGAGTGGACTGTGGAGTTCTAAAGAGGGCACGTGGTAAAAGTCCATTTTCTTTCCTTCAAGATCAAAAAGTGCCCAGGATGGTCGTGTGAGCAATCCCAATAGCAGTGACAGCAGGCAGGACTCACCCCACAAAGCCCCAAAGAAGAAGGGCATCAAGTCCTCCATTGGTCGTTTGTTTGGCAAAAAGGAAAAGGGTCGGCCTGGACAAACTGGCAAAGAATCACCAGGACAAGGTGGGTGGGGTTTCGGCAGCTGTCCTAACTGCTGGGAATGGGAGAACGTGAACTTTGTCCTGTGTGCCTGCCGCAGGTGCGCAGTGCCCACGTGGAGTCATGGCTGAGGGTTCTCCAGAAAAACCCAGTCTGCTTTCTCAGTCTGCCCATGTGTGAACCAAAGCAGAGCAGTGGACATTCATTTGGCGTGAATGAATAACCCTCATAAGTGCTACTTTACACTCTTGAACATTTGTATGTGTTTGCTTGGAAGCTTACCCTTCAGAAATTATTTAGCTCTCTAGCTGCAGAACCTTCAACCTATTTGTGAAACATATAACTTTGCCATGTTAATTTACTGTAAATTTGGGGGCTTTTCTGATTTTTTAATAGCTGTTCTTTCTGAAACAGAAACCTCATCTCAGGATGCGTTCCGACTTAGCAAATTGGGAGGAAAGGCTGAAAAAAATCGAAAATTTCAAAAAAAGTAAGCTTTTTGTTATTTCTCCATCTCACGAAACAGGTTTCTGAGTTAACAGTAATTGTTAGCTGATTTTAAGTGTAATTTCTAGCTATGTAAATACATTGTCTTTTGAAAGATGAACCTAAAGCAGTGATAGAGCTTTCAGTGATACAAAGAGCTTGCTGCAGCATGCACGCCATAGGTTTGCCTCCATTGACCTAAAGCCTGTTTTAAGCCATCATGTCTGGTGAACAGAGGACATTTGGAAATCTTGACTGAATTCACACATGTATTCTCAGTCTACCTTTTCAGAGTTGTCTCCCAGGATGATAGAATGGGTAATAGTTAGGCTTGGCCATTTGAGCTCTGGCCGCTGAATCCTGGTTAATTCTCTAGTTAGCTGTGTGTCTCTGACAAAGTTACTTATCCTGTGCTTCAGTTTTCTCAACTGTCAAATGGCAGTTACAGTTGTTCATACATCATGTGGCTGTTTTTCAGTTCAATAGAATTATATATGTGCATGTATATGTTTTATAACATGGACACAATTCCTAAATAAGTTACAATTACAGTCAGGCTTCTGAGACCTTGTTTTCTTTCCTGTTGACTGAGTGCATCCCTCAGTGCCTGAGCAAGGCCCCTGCAGAGGGTGTTCCCTTATGTGTCCAAACAAGGCAGGCTAGAGTACAGGCCTGCTCTGAGCAGGGAGCACATCAGAATCTTGGCTTTCCAGACACAGGTCTGTGGAAGCATTACTGGGACCCTGCATCACAATGCATATTGTACTGTGTGTAAGAGACTCAAAACGTTTTTTAGGAAGTTGAAGGTAGGAATATTAAAAATGCAGACTGTTCTTGTACGTGTGAATGGACTGTGGATCTGGGAAGAGGGTGGTAAAAATCCATTTTATTTCTTTGAAGCTCAACAGGCTCCCAGGAAGGTCCTGTGAACAATCCCAGTACCAGTGACAGCAGGCAGGACGCGCTCCACAAAGCCCCAAAGAAGAAGAGCATCAAGTCCTCCACTGGTCGTTTGTTTGGCAAAAAGAAAAAGGGTCCGCCTGGACAAACTGGCAAAGAATCACCAAGACAAGGTGGGCCGGTTTTAGGCAGCTGTCCTAACTGCTGGGATTGGGAGAGCATGAGCTTTTTCCTATGTACCTGCCACAGGTGTCCAGTGCCCACAAGGAATCATGGCTGAGCATTCTCCAGACAGCCCAGTCTGCCCACATGTGAACCAGAGCAGAGCAGTGGACATTCATTTGGCGTGAATGAATAACCCTCTTATATGCTAATTTATACTCTTGAACATTTATATGTGTTTGCTCGGAAGCTTACACTTCAGAAATGATTCAGCTCTCTACCTGCAGAATCTTCTTCCTATTTGTGAAACATATAACTTTGCCATGTTAATTTACTCTAAATTTGGTGAATTTTCTTCTTTTTTGTAGCTGTTGTTTCTGAAACAGAAAACTCATCTCAGGATGCCTTCCAACTTAGCAAATTGGGAGGAAAGGATGAAAAAAATCATCAACTTCAAAAACAGTAAACTTTTTGTTATTTCTCCATCTCATGAAACATTTTTCTGAGTTAACAGTCATTCTTAGCTGATTTTAAGTGTAATTTCTAGCTATGTAAATACATTGTCTTTTGAAAGATGAACCTAAAGCAGTGATAGAGCTTTCAGTGATACAAAGAGCTTGCTGCAGCATGCACGCCATAGGTTTGCCTCCACTGACCTAAAGCCTGTTTTAAGCCATCATGTCTGGAGAACAGAGGACATTAGGAAGTCTTGACTGAATTCACACATGTATTCTCAGTCTACCTTTTCAGAGTGTTCTCCCAGGATAATAGAATGGGTAATAGTTAGGCTTGGCCATTTGAGCTCTGGCCGCTGAATCCTGGTTAATTCTCTAGTTAGCTGTGTGTCTCTGACAAAGTTACTTATCCTGTGCTTCAGTTTTCTCATCTGTCAAATGGCAGTTACAGTTGTTCATACATCATGTGGCTGTTTTTCAGTTCAATAGAATTATATATGTGCATGTATATGTTTTATAACATGGACACAATTCCTAAATAAGTTACAATTACAGTCAGGCTTCTGAGACCTTGTTTTCTTTCCTGTTGACTGAGTGCATCCCTCAGTGCCTGAGCAAGGCCCCTGCAGAGGGTGTTCCCTTATGTGTCCAAACAAGGCAGGCTAGAGTATAGGCCTGCTCTGAGCAGGGAGCACATCAGAATCTTGGCTTTCCAGACACAGGTCTGTGGAAGCATTACTGGGACCCTGCATCACAATGCATATTGTACTGTGTGTAAGAGACTCGAAACGTTTTTTAGGAAGTTGAAGGTGGGAATATTAAAAATGCAGACTGTTCTTGTACGTGTGAATGGACTGTGGATCTGGGAAGAGGGTGGTAAAAATCCATTTTATTTCTTTGAAGCTCAACAGGCTCCCAGGAAGGTCCTGTGAACAATCCCAGTACCAGTGACAGCAGGCAGGATGCGCTCCACAAAGCCCCAAAAAAGAAGAGCATCAAGTCCTCCACTGGTCGTTTGTTTGGCAAAAAGAAAAAGGTTCTGCCTGGACAAACTGGCAAAGAATCACCAAGACAAGGTGGGCCGGTTTTAGGCAGCTGTCCTAACTGCTGGGATTGGGAGAGCCTGAGATTTTTCCTATGTGCCTGCTGCCGGTGTCCAGTGCCCACGAGGAGTCATGGCTGAGCGTTCTTCTGACAGCCCAGTTTGCCCACATGTGAAACAAAGCAGAGCAGTGGAAATTCGTTTGGCTTGAATGAATAACCCTCTTATATGCTAATTTATACTCTTGAACATTTATATGTGTTTGCTCGGGAGCTTACCCTTCAGAAATTATTCAGCTCTCTACCTGCAGAATCTTCTTCCTATTTGTGAAACATATAACTTTGCCATGTTAATTTACTCTAAATTTGGGGGCTTTTCTTCTTTTTTGTAGCTGTTGTTTCTGAAGCCGAAAACTCATCTCAGGATGCCTTCCAACTTAGCAAACTGGGAGGAAAAGATGAAAAAAATCGTCAACTTCAAAAACAGTAAGCTTTTTGTTATTTCTCCATCTCATGAAACAGTTTTCTGAGTTAACAGTCATTCTTAGCTGATTTTAAGTGTAATTTCTAGCTATGTAAATACATTGTCTTTTGAAAGATGAATCTAAAGCAGTGATAGAGCTTTCAGTGATACAAAGAGCTTGCTGCAGCATGCACGCCATAGGTTTGCCTCCATTGACCTAAAGGCTGTTTTAAGCCATCATGTCTGGAGAACCAAGGACATTTGGAAATTTTGACTTAACTCACACATTCATTCTCAGTCTCCCTTTGCAGACTTGTCTCCCTAGTGGACAGAGTGGTTAAGAGTTAGGCTTAGACATTTGAGCTCTGGCCGCTGAATCCTGGTTAATTCTCTAGTTAGCTGTGTGTCTCTGACAAAGTTACTTATCCTGTGCTTCAGTTTTCTCATCTGTCAAATGGCAGTTACAGTTGTTCATACATCATGTGGCTGTTTTTCAGTTCAATAGAATTATATATGTGCATGTATATGTTTTATAACATGGACACAATTCCTAAATAAGTTACAATTACAGTCAGGCTTCTGAGACCTTGTTTTCTTTCCTGTTGACTGAGTGCATCCCTCAGTGCCTGAGCAAGGCCCCTGCAGAGGGTGTTCCCTTATGTGTCCAAACAAGGCAGGCTAGAGTATAGGCCTGCTCTGAGCAGGGAGCACATCAGAATCTTGGCTTTCCAGACACAGGTCTGTGGAAGCATTACTGGGACCCTGCATCACAATGCATATTGTACTGTGTGTAAGAGACTCGAAACGTTTTTTAGGAAGTTGAAGGTGGGAATATTAAAAATGCAGACTGTTCTTGTACGTGTGAATGGACTGTGGATCTGGGAAGAGGGTGGTAAAAATCCATTTTATTTCTTTGAAGCTCAACAGGCTCCCAGGAAGGTCCTGTGAACAATCCCAGTACCAGTGACAGCAGGCAGGATGCGCTCCACAAAGCCCCAAAAAAGAAGAGCATCAAGTCCTCCACTGGTCGTTTGTTTGGCAAAAAGAAAAAGGTTCTGCCTGGACAAACTGGCAAAGAATCACCAAGACAAGGTGGGCCGGTTTTAGGCAGCTGTCCTAACTGCTGGGATTGGGAGAGCCTGAGATTTTTCCTATGTGCCTGCTGCCGGTGTCCAGTGCCCACGAGGAGTCATGGCTGAGCGTTCTTCTGACAGCCCAGTTTGCCCACATGTGAAACAAAGCAGAGCAGTGGAAATTCGTTTGGCTTGAATGAATAACCCTCTTATATGCTAATTTATACTCTTGAACATTTATATGTGTTTGCTCGGGAGCTTACCCTTCAGAAATTATTCAGCTCTCTACCTGCAGAATCTTCTTCCTATTTGTGAAACATATAACTTTGCCATGTTAATTTACTCTAAATTTGGGGGCTTTTCTTCTTTTTTGTAGCTGTTGTTTCTGAAGCCGAAAACTCATCTCAGGATGCCTTCCAACTTAGCAAACTGGGAGGAAAAGATGAAAAAAATCGTCAACTTCAAAAACAGTAAGCTTTTTGTTATTTCTCCATCTCATGAAACAGTTTTCTGAGTTAACAGTCATTCTTAGCTGATTTTAAGTGTAATTTCTAGCTATGTAAATACATTGTCTTTTGAAAGATGAATCTAAAGCAGTGATAGAGCTTTCAGTGATACAAAGAGCTTGCTGCAGCATGCACGCCATAGGTTTGCCTCCATTGACCTAAAGGCTGTTTTAAGCCATCATGTCTGGAGAACCAAGGACATTTGGAAATTTTGACTTAACTCACACATTCATTCTCAGTCTCCCTTTGCAGACTTGTCTCCCTAGTGGACAGAGTGGTTAAGAGTTAGGCTTAGACATTTGAGCTCTGGCCGCTGAATCCTGGTTAATTCTCTAGTTAGCTGTGTGTCTCTGACAAAGTTACTTAGCTTGTGCTTCAGTTCTCTAAACTGTCAAATGGCAGTTACAGTTGTTCATACATCATGTGGTTTTTTTTCAGTTCAATAGAATTATATATGTGCACGTATATGTTTTAAAACATGGACACAGGTCCTAAATATGTTACAATTATAGTCAGGCTTCTGAGACCTTGTTCTCTTTCCTGTTGACTGAGTGCATCCCTCAGTGCCTGAGCAAAGACCCTGCAGAGGGTGTTCCCTTATGTGTCCAAACCAAGCAGGCTAGAGTACAGGCCTGCTCTGAGCAGGGAGCACATCAGAATCTTGGCTTTCCAGACACTGGTCTGTGGAAGCATTACTGGGACCCTGAATCACAATGAATATTGTATTGTGTGTAAGACAGTTGAAAAATTCTTTAGGAAGTTGAAGGTAGGAATATTAAAAATGCACACTTTTCTTGTACATGTGAATGGACTGTGGAGCTGTGAAGAGGGTGGTAAAAGTCCGTTTTCTTTCCTTCAAGCTCAACAGGCTCTCAGGATGGTCCTGTGAGCGTTCCCAGCAGCAGTGACAGCAGGGAGGACCCACTCCACAAAGCTCCAAAGAAGAAGAGCATCAAGTCCTCCACTGGTCGTTTGTTTGGCAAAAAGGAAAAGGATCCGCCTGGACAAACTGGGAAAGAATCACCAAGACAAGGTGGGCTGGTTTTAGGCAGCTGTCCTAACTGCTGGGATTGGGAGAGCATGCGCTTTTTCCTATGTACCTGCCACAGGTGTCCAGTGCCCACAAGGAATCATGGCTGAGCATTCTCCAGACAGCCCAGTCTGCCCACATGTGAACCAGAGCAGAGCAGTGGACATTCATTTGGCGTGAATGAATAACCCTCTTATATGCTAATTTATACGCTTGAACATTTATATGTGTTTGCTCGGAAGCTTACCCTTCAGAAATTATTCAGCTCTCTACCTGCAGAATCTTCTTCCTATTTGTGAAACATATAACTTTGCCATGTTAATTTACTCTAAATTTGGGGAATTTTCTTCTTTTTTGTAGCTGTTGTTTCTGAAGCCGAAAACTCATCTCAGGATGCCTTCCAACTTAGCAAATTGGGAGGAAAGGATGAAAAAAATCGTCAACTTCAAAAACAGTAAGCTTTTTGTTATTTCTCCATCTCATGAAATATTTTTCTGAGTTAACAGTCATTCTTAGCTGATTTTAAGTGTAATTTCTAGCTATGTAAATACATTGTCTTTTGAAAGATGAACCTAAAGCAGTGATAGAGCTTTCAGTGATACAAAGAGCTTGCTGTAGCATGCACACCATAGGTTTGCCTCCATTGACCTAAAGCCTGTTTTAAGCCATCATGTCTGGTGAACAGAGGACATTTGGAAATCTTGACTGAATTCACACATGTATTCTCAGTCTACCTTTTCAGAGTTGTCTCCCAGGATGATAGAATGGGTAATAGTTAGGCTTGGCCATTTGAGCTCTGGCCGCTGAATCCTGGTTAATTCTCTAGTTAGCTGTGTGTCTCTGACAAAGTTACTTATCCTGTGCTTCAGTTTTCTCAACTGTCAAATGGCAGTTACAGTTGTTCATACATCATGTGGCTGTTTTTCAGTTCAATAGAATTATATATGTGCATGTATATGTTTTATAACATGGACACAATTCCTAAATAAGTTACAATTACAGTCAGGCTTCTGAGACCTTGTTTTCTTTCCTGTTGACTGAGTGCATCCCTCAGTGCCTGAGCAAGGCCCCTGCAGAGGGTGTTCCCTTATGTGTCCAAACAAGGCAGGCTAGAGTACAGGCCTGCTCTGAGCAGGGAGCACATCAGAATCTTGGCTTTCCAGACACAGGTCTGTGGAAGCATTACTGGGACCCTGCATCACAATGCATATTGTACTGTGTGTAAGAGACTCGAAACGTTTTTTAGGAAGTTGAAGGTAGGAATATTAAAAATGCAGACTGTTCTTGTACGTGTGAATGGACTGTGGATCTGGGAAGAGGGTGGTAAAAATCCATTTTATTTCTTTGAAGCTCAACAGGCTCCCAGGAAGGACCTGTGAACAATCCCAGTACCAGTGACAGCAGGCAGGACGCGCTCCACAAAGCCCCAAAGAAGAAGAGGATCAAGTCCTCCATTGGTCGTTTGTTTGGCAAAAAGGAAAAGGGTCCGCCTGGACAAACTGGCAAAGAATCACCAAGACAAGGTGGGCCGGTTTTAGGCAGCTGTCCTAACTGCTGGGATTGGGAGAGCGTGAGGTTTTTCCTATGTGCCTGATGCAGGTGTCCAGTGCCCACGAGGAGTCATGGCTGAGCATTCTCCAGACAGCCCAGTCTGTCCACATGTGAACCAGAGCAGAGCAGTGGACATTCATTTGGCGTGAATGAATAACCCTCTTATATGCTAATTTATACTCTTGAACATTTATATGTGTTTGCTCGGAAGCTTACCCTTCAGAAATGATTCAGCTCTCTACCTGCAGAATCTTCTTCCTATTTGTGAAACATATAACTTTGCCATGTTAATTTACTCTAAATTTGGGGGCTTTTCTTCTCTTTTGTAGCCGTTGTTTCTGAAACAGAAAACTCATCTCAGGATGCCTTCCAACTTAGCAAATTGGGAGGAAAGGATGAAAAAAATCATCAACTTCAAAAAAAGTAAGCTTTTTGTTATTTCTCCATCTCATGAAACAGTTTTCTGAGTTAACCATCATTCTTAGCTGATTTTAAGTGTAATTTCTAGCTATTGTAAATAGATTGTCTTTTGAAAGATGAACCTAAAGCAGTGATAGAGCTTTCAGTGGTACAAAGAGCTTGCTGCAACATGCATGCCATAGGTTTGCCTCCATTGACCTAAAGCCTGTTTTAAGCCATCATGTCTGGAGAACAGAGGACATTTGGAAACTTTGACTGAACTCACATGTGTATTCTCAGTCTTCCTTTGCAGAGTTGTCTCTCTAGATGATAGAATGGGTAATAGTTAGGCTTGGCCATTTGAGCTTTGGCCGCTGAATCCTGGTTAATTCTCTAGTTAGCTGTCTGACAACATTATTTAGCTTAGGCTTCAGTTTTCTCAACTGTCAAATGACTGTTACAGTTGTTCATGCATCGTGTGGCTTTTTCTCAGTTTGATAGAATTATATATGTGCATGTATATGTTTTAAAACATGGACACAAGTCCTAAATAAGGTATAATTAAGGTCACTGTGGTGACTTCTATTGTTTACACAAGTCGTCCTCCAGAAGCATTTACCGTGATATAATTTTACATTTTATCTGAGATTGGATCTCTACTTTACAGTGTATTATTGAACTATAATCCTCTACTAAATCTTAAGGGGCTGAGGAGTGGAGTATAAGTGAGAGCGTACTGGCTTGACATACCATCCCTAGGCCCACATAAAGATAGATTCTGAAAATAATATATACTGTTCCGAATGATTTTGCATAGGGGAGCACAGGCACCAACATATCAGGGAAGTATGTACACTTCTCTGATGTAGGATTGGTTGTGTAAGCTGATCACACCCAAAACTAGAGTTATAAGTGAACTAGATAGGTTGAGACATTTTCCTAGTGAGATGATTAATAAAATATCAATCAAAAAGCTTTCTGCAACAAAATCAGACAGTATGTAATGTCTAAGAGGTACAATTTGAACTTGACAGTAGGGAAAGTTTGAAAGCCTAAGGTAAGATGGGCACACTGGTCTTGAGAAAAGGTGAAAGTTGGTGGGTTCTTGGATAAATTTGTATATGGGAAACATCAGGTGTCCACTTCTCAGTGAAGCCAGTACTGTGTGGAACTCAGAGTGCAAAGGCCCTGACACTAGCGTTACACTCGAATCCCTAGGAACCCTTTCTGCTGGAAAGTTATGAAATCTCACTCATTTTAGTTGTCTTCTCTGAATTCATGACTGCCTTTTTTTTTTTTAAACTTCTATTGGTATGTGTTTGCAGTACATAATAATCATGTTGGTTCTTGGGAGTTGATACATGTCCATGACACATTTCTATTCTTTATTTTCCACCATCCTTGTATTTTGCCAGAATCCCATTCATGCATTTCTCTTATAAACCCTTGTCATGTATACAGATTAAAAATAAGACTATTAAAAAGAAATATATATATATATATATATGATATATATATATCAATATCAATATATATTATATATATATATATATATATATCAAACATACCAGACTATAAGCCAAAACACATATAAAAGATGGAACACAATTGTACTAAGTCGAAGTATTCCTTTAGATATATTTTCCATGCTGAGTTACAATAACTTTTTTCTTCTATTGTCTGTCTTTTATTTCATAGCTAACTTATATATGAAGTTTTTCATATTATAATGAGTCTTTTGTTTTTTATTTTATTCATTTATTTTTTGAGACAAGAATCATACTTTGTAATTCAGGCTGGACTGAACTCACAGCAGTCCTCCTGATTTAGTTGCCCAAGTGGTGGGATTACAGGCATGTGCTACCGCACTTGGCCATAGTAACTGTTTTAAGCAGCTCAACAGTGATGACATGCCATTGCAGGTGAAATTCTGTTATGGAAACATTCTATACAAATACTCAATCTTTGGTGCTCTGTAAATAGAATTTTATAGTACCATTTAACCACAAAATCTGAACTGTGTAAAAGTCTTTTATAATAATTTAAGCAATGAGCAGTTGGCTTTGTGGAGCTTAATATTAAAGCTAGTCATTTTCCCTCTCGAAACCATGCTAAAGAAATAGTGTTGCCTAGATTTTGCCAGTGTCTTTTATTTCACGTGCTCATTTCAATGTAATAAAAACAACAGCAGCACAGCTTGATCATTCACCCCATTGCCTTCTGAAGTTTATGTTTCATGGAAGAGAAGAAATAATTTTCCTAATATGTTTGGCTATTCTGCTGGGGATGTGGCTCGGTAGTGTAGTACTCTTAGCATGCATTAAGGCCTTAGGTTCAATCCCCAGTACCACAATAAAAGCAAAAAACAGAAAACCAAAATGTTTCCCTGTTGTAAAAATTGACTTTCTAACTCTCAAGAAGTGTGTGTGCACCCTCAGGACAGGCTTTGAATTATTTGCCCAAACACATGATTAAATTGCACACCAGGCATGCATGTTTACAGGTTTGTGTGCGTGCGCGCGCATGTGTGTGTGTGTGTGTGTGTGTGTGTGTGTGTGTGTGTGTGGTGGTAGGGAGGGAGATTTCTCGGTAGCAAGGAGATTCAAGTTTATGCTGCTTACTCCAAACATCTGTTGTGGCTGTTTCAAGGTGTCTAAGAATGGGTCTTTGCTCTGTACTTTATAGTTCTATGTGGGATGCATATGTGATTTCTCAACCATAGTAGAAAGTTCATAGGGAAAATTCTAAAGTAGTCATCTGACTATGGTGGGCAGTTTTGTGATATCTGTCAGATAACCTGAATTGTAATTGATTTGAAGAAAAAAAGTATTTTGTGAATACAGGGTACAGTTTAATACTTTGAGCATTATTGTTTTGTTTTTTTGTTTTTTTGTTTTTGTTTTTGTTTTTCTGAGACAGGTCTCACTATGCAGTTCAGGCTGGCTTTGAGCTCACTTTGTAGCTCAGGCTGACCTCAAACTCACAATGATCCTCCTGCCTCAGCCTCTCAAGTGCTGGAATTACAGGCATGCACAACCACATCCAGCTACTTTGAGCATTCTTGATGTAATAAAAAACTGTTCTGTGAATACAGAGTACAGTTCAACACTTTGGTACTTTCTCAGAAATACAGTACTTCTTGTGATGAGCCCTAACTTGGCTGTAGGCCATGCTCCTTGCTGCTGAACCACTAGCCTATCACATTGACTGAAGGAGGGTTCCCAGGACTCAGTGCACATGTTGACCAGCTGAACTCATGCTCTCTGAGAATTACTGGAAGAATTTGATGCTCTGCTGACACTTGAGGTGCTCAGTAGTCAATGCAACTATCAGCATGACTCAGACTGGAGTCCGTTCATCAGCTCATAGAATGCTGTGTGAAGTTTCAAAACATGGATCTCCAACTCACCTTTGTCTTTGTAGTGCTCTCCTTCCGGTTGCGTGGCATTGTGGTGCATTTGCTGTGGGAAGTTGGTTACACATGGAGCCATACTCAGTGGTACTCTGAATCATATAGTGTGGAGTGCTGGTGTTACCAGCTTTGGGTTCTCTGCTAAACTTCCCAAGAGTATATTTCTGTTTGGTGAGAAAAGTTGCTTCCATTCCTCACTTGTCAAAACAACACACTGGTCCCCAGTACTCTTCCTCACAGTGTGACTAGCATGTGAAATGTGAGCCTGAGCTGCAGCCATGAGAAAGGGTCTCCTTAGCCCTTGTGCAAGACCCCTGAAGTTGAAAAGTGTCCCATCTCTTGGAAATACAGTCATGTATTTACTATGGAGAGTTAAAGTTCTTGCTATATGTCACTTAGATAATGTTTATTCTGCAGAAACTCGCACAAGCTTCTTGAAATGAAGGGCAGCTTTACCATTGTGCTTTTGCCTACATTATAAAATATATCATAATTCATAGATTACATGACATTTTTTGTACCAGGGATCAAACTCACAACCTCACACTTGCCAGGCAGGCCCTTAAGCTGCTGAGCTAAATCCCTGGCCTTCACGTAACTTTTATTTTACGCATTTGTTCCCCAGAGAATTTAGTGTATTTTGGTCCAAGAGAATACAGCATAGCTGTAGAACACTTTCCTAGTATGCTAAAGCCCTGAGCTCCATCATTAGTATGACAGAATCTAAAATAGCTGCCTCCTCCAACAGTATGTATGTATGTATGTATGTATGTATGTATGCATGTATATACATGTTGGTGCTGCAGATCAAACATAGCACCTTGTGAAGGCTGGGCAAGTGCTTTACTAATGAGCTACACTCAGCCCCCAGTCTCTAATTTAAAGGCAGGAAGGTTCCCATATCAGTTTGCATTAGAGCAGATACTCTGTGTTTGTGTGTGTGTGTGTGTGTGTGTGTGTGTGTGTGTGTGTGTGTGTTTGGTTTCTTTTCCTTTTTTGGTACTGGGGATCAAACTCATGCCCTTGCACTTGCCAGGCAGGTGCTATGCTGCTGAGCTAAATTCCTGGCCTCCTTTTCTTTTTTTAAAAAAGGGTCTCACTGTGTTGTTCAGGTTGGACTTGAAATCATTATGTAACCCAGGCTGACTTTCAGCTCATAGCAATTCTCCTGCCTCAGCTTCCAAAGTGCTGGGATTACAGGTGTGTACCATCATCCTGGCATTAGAGCAGATATTATAAAAATCAACCCTGGTGTCTAGTGTTTGGTTCTATGGGAGAAGCTATAAGCTGAAGAAAAGAAGCTCTGACAATGTCAGGAACAGAGCAATCTAGTGCCCAGCCACCTTCTGCAAAGGGCCCCAGCTTGGCCTGCCTGTCACATCTATTGGGATATGATATCTCACAGCCCAGGAGCAAGCAAATATCAGAAGAAACCAAAGGGGTTTTCTTCTGGAGTTGATGGATATGACACATCAACATCTAGGATTACTGACATATTATTCAGATGCCCTTGGTGGCTATTCAGTGTGGACAGATGATGGACATTCTGCAGAGTATGCCCCCCCCCCACTGGTTACTATGTTTTTATTTGCTCTTTTTAAATTTTTCCTTTTTTTCCCCTGGGGGCTCCTTATGTAGTCCAGACTAGCCTTGAATTCATGGTAATCCTCTTGCCTTCATCTCCCACATGCTGGATTATAGATGATGCCACCATACCCAGCTTGATTACCTTGCTTGAAGCTTTGGGGCTCAGAGCTGGAAGAGTTATTATTTGGGAAGTTGAGCAAGAAAAGAATGAATGTTGCTAAAGCTTAAATGTTTGCCGCTTTAGTAGAGGGGGAGGAAATAGGTGGTTCTCCTATTCCAAACTAATCATATGGGTAGACGGATAACCTTACCTAAGTGGATAGTCAGGTAGGTGAGTAAACACTGTGAAGCCATTTAGTTCTTGGAGGTCACAGATTTGGACAAATGGGTGTCTGTACTAAGTATGTGCAGTAGCAAGCAAAAGAGATCCAGTTTCAATACCCAGTGTAAAAGGAAGGTAGTTGTGCATATCACCAAACATTGCAAAGAGCCAGAGTAGAGGTGCGCAGAAGTGTCTGCAGGCTCCAGATTCTGCATCTTAACACAGGATCCTTCTGTACACTTTTGGGAACAACTCTCAAGAAAACTGGACTCTAATGTGCCCACCTATCGTGTTAACCAAGGTTAGGTGCCCAATCTCGTAGTCCACAAACTACCTGGTAGGGGAGGTGTAGCTACCTGTAGGTGGAACTTGGGCCAACTCCCCAGCCAGGGTCTTCTGTGTTATTTCCTAACGTCACATGACTTTTGAATGCATCATCCTACTTCTGCTACCTTCACACCACTCCCACTGCTGCATCTGGATGCAGGTGTAAGGAGGAGGAAGGATGTAAAGGCAACAGCAGTTTATACCAAGCTTCAGGTAGTGGGCCTTGTTCTTGTTTGCAGTACATGTCTGGTATGTACTTTCACAAATTACAGCTGTGCAGTGGTATGTACCTTTAATCATCCGAGCTACCTGGGAGGTCCAGGCAGGAGGGTCATTTATGATGACAATGCCATTGTTCTAGGCAACTTAAGAAACTGTCTCAAGATAAAAAGTATAGTACAAATGGCTGGCGGTTTAGTTCAATGAGTGCTTGGTTCCATCCCCAGTACCATCAAAAATAATGAAAACACCAACAAAATCATTTTTAGACTACTGAGGACATAGTTCTTACTTAGTCTATTTGAATAGGCACATAATCTAGAAGTGCTTCTGACCTACAGCAGTAGTCTTCCTCTTCCCTGGCCTGGCCAGAGCATCCAGGACAGAACCTCACTTAATATTACAGAATTTCAGATCTTTACCCAGAAATGGATTTACACTGCTTCTTGGGGTCAGTCAGTCTGTCTGTCTGTCTGTCTGTCTGTCTGTCTGTCTCTCTGTATGTTTGTCACACACTCTCTCTTTCTCTCTCTCTCTCTCTGTGTGTGTGTGTGTGTGTTTCTTGTTTCCTTAAATGAGTCATAGCAGCTCTGTAGCCAGGTTTGGTAGCTGTCTTAGTTACTTTTTACTCATTGCTGAGACAAAATACCTAAAGGCCAAGTTGGGAAAGGAAAGGTTTATTTCTTACAGTTTTTGGAGGTTTCACACACTCAGTTGGCTCCAGGGCATGGCTGGGCCACAGTTCATGGTGGCTGCAAACAGCAAGCAGGAACAGGCAAAGAGCAAGACACACCTTCTCCCTGCCATTACATTACATCCTGGCTCCACCCCTCTGTGGGTATAGCACTGACACCATCAATCCAAGCACTAACAATGAACCATCACAAATGCACAATACAAATACATGAAGCCTGGGGGCCCACAGACATAAACCATGACATGCCTCCCCTGGCCCCCAGGACTCTTGTACATCCTTTATACAAAAGACATTTAGTCCACCACCAAGAGTTTCCAAAGTCTTAAGTTTCAGCATTGCTGAACAGTCCAAGTCCCATGTCTCCTCCATGATCTATGGCAAACTCTTAACTGTAACCCCTGTACAAATGAAACAAGTTTAAACATTTCTCAAATGCAAAGGCACAAAATAAACATTACTATTCCAAAAGTTACAAACAGGGGAATATAAAGCATTGGAAACAAAGCAAATCCAACATCCAGCAGGATGAACATTAAGTCCTAGAGTTCCTTGCTCTGCATCTGAAGCAATATGGTTACAAGCTCCAAAAGGCTTGTGTGATTCCACCCCCAAGGCACTTCCAGGGATTTCACCTCCTGCAGCTTTTCTCTTAAATCCTCTCTGCTTGCTTTTTGGAGCTTTCCTTGGATCATCCATGTTTCTGGCTTTTCCAAACTTTTGGGGTCTCCACTGCACCTTTGGCTTCACCTTTATGTCTTCACAAATTGCCCTCTCAGGGGCACACAGCTTGGCCTCCCAGGCCCTTTGCAATAGAGGTAGAAGCCATCTTACCCTCAGAATTTGTGCATTTTCCTAGCACCTAAGATCAGCACCATGTGGATGTTACCAAGGTTTGCTGCTAGCTAGAGCAGTACTCAGGCTTTTCTCTCTCTTGGCTGTAGGGGTCAGTTGCCTGGATCACAGGGCTCTGTTTAACTGATTGTGAGGAAAAGCTTCTCTATGTTGCCACCATTCTGGAACCTCATGTGGCCTGTCACCATTCTGGAAACTCATGTGGTCTCTGTCGCCATTCTGGAACCTGGTGCTCTGCAGCTTTCTCCTCTGAAAAAATTCTTTTACCTTTGCAGTGAGGCTGCACAGGGTGGGGACCTGCTTCCTGGGATGCCCCCGGCCCATCTTTCTTATTTCTCTGTTTTCCCTCAGCCATCAGAATCTCCACTGTCTTTACAATCCACAGCCTTCCTGAAATATTCTTTCTGGCCAAACTCACAGTATTGCAAATTATCCCGCTGGGCTCTTTCCTCTTGATTTGCAACATAAAGCTGGCTAAAAGCCCTCTACAGTAGCCATGCCACAGACTCAACATTTGATTGCTTTTTAATTTCTTTTTCAAGATTAATCAGTCCATTGCCCTTTGTTTCAGTCTCAGGCAAAGTCTCTGGACATGAGCAAAATGTAGACAACTTTCTGCCAACCCATAACTCACATCATGGGGAGTCCAACAACCACTGCAGTCCTTCTTCCCAGCAGAAATCTCCCAGGCCTGGTCTTTACCATCAGGCTTCCTATCAGCCTTCTGGTCTCCTGAGCTGTGACCACTATCTCCTCTACAGAACTGCCTAAGCTGCTCTAGCTCTATGCATCCAGGCAACACATCCAAACCTTTCCAAACTCTGCCCACAAGCCATTTCCAAAGCCATTTCTTGAAAAACATGGTAAGGTATAGTCACAGCAAACAACCCCATTCTTCGGTACCAAATTCTGTCTTAGTTACTTTTTACTCATTGCTGAGACAAAATACCTGAAGCCCAAGTTTGGAAAGGAAAAGGTTATTTCTTACAGTTTTTGGAGGTTTCAGTCCACACTCAGTTGGCTCCAAGGCAGGTGGGCATGGCTGGGTCACAGTTCATGGTGGCTGCAAACAGCAAGTAGGAACAGGCAAAGAGCAAGATACACTTTCTTCCTACCATTACATCATATCCTGGCTCCACTCTTATGTGGGTGTAACACTGACACCATGAATCCAAGCACTAGACAATGAACCATCACAAATGCACAATGAAAATGCATGAGGCCTGGGGGCCACAGACATAAACCATGACAGTAGCCTACTACTTCTTGTACTTAGGAGCACACTTCTGCTGATCTGTTTCTCTGTGAATAGCTTTGCTTGTTTCAACTAGAAAATTGTTGTTGTTGTTGTTCTTCTTCTTCTTCTTTTTGTTTTTTTCTTGTTTCATCTGAGATAACACATTTGCTGCCTTCTCTGGTACAGTTACTCCCTGGTGATTGTTCCTGTAAGCTTAGCGGTAACTTAAGGAACTCTTAGTTGAAATTGTATATGAAACATTTTACTTAGGAACATAAGTTTCCAAAAGAAAGAAAAGGGGAAGAGAGACTGATTGACTGAGACTGACTAGGGTTTTTGTGTATCTGAAACATACTTGTCCTTTGTGTTCTAATGTCAGACTTACCATGCTTACAATGTTACTGTTTCACATAACTGTGTTACACAAATCACTTTTAGAGATGTTAGTATAGTAAAAGTGTGACTTGAGTCTTTAGAAATAAAGCATATATGAAACCTCAAATCACATTACGGAGTGCATGCAAGACTCACCTACCCACTTCCCTGCAGTACTGCCTTGGTATTGCATGAGTTTCTGTGCTGGTGATACATTCGGCATTGAAGGAGGTGTTGAATGGCTGGCTAAAGAAGAGATCAATGGGTTAAAACCACAGAATGACCCAGTGACTTAGCAAGTACCCGTTTACTTAAAGAGCAGTGTACAATAGAAACTGTCCTCTGTTACTTGTTTGCTGTATTAGACGATAATCTTTTTGTGGTTAAAAGTCTGCATTACAGCTGGGAGTATGAAACACATCTATAATCCAAGCACTGGGGGAGACTGGTTACACAGAGTTTGAGGCCAACCTGGACTACATACATAGCAAGACTTTGTCTCAACATTCCCCAAACCACAACCACCCCCCAAAAACACTGTTTTTTAAAGTCTCTCACAAAATTAGGCACTGATGTCTCAACTGAGGTGTGGTTTCCTCTTCCTAGATACTGTTTCTTCATTGTTGAAGTAGGGTTTCATGTTTTCCCCTAATTGTCTTACTACCTTGGATATGAAAATTCTGCTTGAGTTTTATAAGTTGGTAGTAATTCTTCAATTCTCTGAAGTAATGGTGATTTGACTGGGAATCAAGAGAACTCTGTAGCATTTTTTATTTACTCAGGCATTCTCCATAGTATGTGTGTGACTATCATTACAAGGATGATGTTAATAACATTAAAACTGTAGAAGATAAAAGGAACTGAGAATATGTGTTATACTTTTGAAAATGCTCAGAGACTGTTCCATTAACTTGTTGGATGTGTAACAGTGCTTCTTTAATTTGAATGTCTTCTTTTTCACAGGCCTGAGTTGCTGGAGGAAGCCCAGAGGCAAGGCTTACCATTTTCACAGTGGGACGGGCCAACCGTGGTTGAATGGCTGGAGGTACATCCCTTTACTACAGAGACCTATGCTACATGACACAAGCTTGTCGTGCATCTCCCGTCTCTACCTGATGTTCTGGTCTTTTCATTCTTCTTTCTAGCTCTGGGTTGGGATGCCTGCTTGCTATGTGGCTGCCTGCAGAGCAAATGTGAAAAGTGGGGCCATCATGTCAGCTCTGTCAGACAGACAGATCCAGCAAGAGATTGGCATCAGCCACCCTCTGCACAGACTGAAGCTGCGGCTGGCCATCCAGGAAACCCTGTGGCTCACCAGCCCTTCGGCTCCACCCACATTGAAAAAGGTATGTTCACAGAGGCTCTGTGTGCCCTCTGTGGAGGAGGAAGGCAGAGCCCACAAAAGCAGTAGCCTGCTAATGTTTCCGTGCTGCTTCCTAATCATACAGGGTGGTTTCAACTTAAAATTTCAGGAAAGCATAGTACAACCCCTAACTTGGAGGGGTTGAGTGATCCAAAGAAAATGTGTGAACTGCTTGTGTAAAAGTGTGGTTAAAGCCAGGCGTGGTGGCACATGCCTGTAGTTCCAGTACTCAGAAGGCTGAGGTGGGAGGATCACTGTGAGTTCTAGGCCAGTGGGTTACAGTGTGAGCAGCTTGAACTGAGTAATGAGATCCCGTTTCAGAAAAGACCAAAAAATAAATAATTAAATAAATGAATAAAACTTGGTTAGAAGGGCCTTCTTTAAGAAAGAAGGCTTTTTGAAAGGTAGAAAATTGAGTGTCACAAATGTACGTATGAATTTATCAAAACTGAGTAAGTGTAAGGACCTCTTGAGGAAGGAAAAGTTAACATTTTAAGTAGCATTTCATCCTTGAACTTTGATTTCTATTTCATAGTTCAAGCAATAATTAGTACTTGTACGGTATATAAAGGTACTTGCTAAGCAAATTATATGCGGAAAATATTGTTTTTCTTCAAGTATACAGGTAGCAAAATATACAGATAAGCCCAGGAATGTATAAACCCTTGCATACAATCCCCGGGCATAAATAAGCACCTGGCTATGGCCCCTTGGCTATAAACTAGGTTGGGCTGCCCTTACTTTGTTGTGTGTGGCTTCTTTCCTTCAGTCTTGTGCGTGTGAGTGCATCTGCATCACTGCACATATAGGCGGGACTTACAGAGTAACTGTAATTTGTGGCAGTCCAGAGGTGCCACTGACATACAGTTGACACGCTAACAAGGGGTGGTCACCTCCCAGAAATCCACTGGTTCCTGGACAGTTCTAAGCTTCTCTTCTTTGTGGATGTCTTTTTTTCCCTACAAGAACTAAAGGAGGAAAAATGCTGAGTTTCCTAGATGCACTGTGGTTGTGTGTCACGGCACCAGCAGGTGCTCTGGGTCTTGGGAGCTGCATGTGTCTGTCCAACCATGCCTGTGCTCACAAAGATGCTGTCCACTTGGGGAGTAGTGAAGAGCCCTCAAAGAGCTTCCTGGTGACTCTTCTGATGAAACATTGGTGGTTATTAGAAGGGAAGAGCAGGCCAGCTCTTAAGTTGCAAAGTTCAGGGGTTTTTTCATTTAGATGTTCAACAAACTCTTAGAGCTGTGTAGACATCCTTCTGAGCAGCAGAGCAAGGTCTGCCTACAGTAACTTTATACACAAAAAAGTGTGAAGATTTTGTTGTTAGAGAATTATGAAAATGAACAATAAGCCTTTTTTTTTTTTAACGTATGGCCAAAGAACACTTTCCCTTGGTGGAATGTTTTGTAACCAGTATCAGTCTGTTCTGCAGCTATTTCCACATTAATGTGGGCTTTGTAGAAATGAAGATGCTGCATGGCTTTTTCAAAGCTTTTAAGAACCCTCTTTCAAAAGGGAGCTTCTGTGATTCAGTTGAACTATTGGCAAGGACTAGACCTCACATCAGAAAGACTCTCCATATCACCAGTTACAAACACAGAAATTGCTGTTCTTGGGGAGCTTACAGTGGGCTAGCAGAGTGGCCATCAGTCTCAGGTTTGACTCAGATGGTGACAAGTGCTTTGTTTTTGGTGTTTGCATTGTTTGGCTCTCCTGTGCTCACTATCTTGTGCCCTGGCCTCCTGGGCTTCCTCTGGCTTTGGATCATCTGCTGAAAGCAGCCACAGGAAGCCAAGGCCAGAGCATCCTGTTGTTAGCCTGTGTTGGGGTGAGACTGCTTTCTGTGTGTTTTGTTTTATTCTTTTGTTTTGCTGTACTGAGGCTTAAACCTAGTGCTTTGGGAGAGCCAGGCAAAAACCCTATCATGAGCTATACCTCCAACATGGTGAGACTATTGAAAATACTGTCTATTGAATCATCAGTTACTGGGGAAAGTAACTTTTCAGAAATATAAAGTATGTTCTCATCCATACTTTTAAGCATGTGATCTGGAAATTGTGTGCTGTTCTCCTTATATTCCGACCACACTGTTATTGTTTAAAAGAGGATGAGCCTGTGTTAATGATCTCTGGCTTTCTCTGTGGGTGCCTGAAATGAAAATGTGCAAAGAGTGACCTTTGCCTCGTGGCTCCTTACTGTGCCTGTGGCTCATATGTGCGTCCTTCTCCTTTCTGTCACGCTTCCCTTGCCCTGGATGTGGCTGGTGCACTGGGGTCACCTTAGACCACAGGAAATGTCTGGTTAACACATGAAGAGATGGAAACACTCGCAGCCACATCTCAGATGGTCAGTCAGCCCTGCAGCTCATGTTCCAAAGTGGGTTTCCTACTCCAGACCAAAGGGCCCTTTGTCTTTTGTTGAAAACAAAAGTTAATTTGCATTTGTTTCAAATATAATGTGTTCTTTTTAGGTTATTAGCTCATAGCGTATAGTCGTATTTGCATTTTTTAGATTTTTACAAGAATTTAGTTTATAGATTTGCCCCATTTAGAGAAGATGTAATTTGCTTCTCCTTTTGGAGAGACCTCCATTGAGCACTGCGTTGTGGTTGTCTAACGCCAACAGTCTACTGTATGAGGTTAGTTGGCATGGAAAAAGTCTGCTCCTTGCATGGAAAATTGAAATTCTTGGATTTTCATGAGTTTTTGCATGAGGCATTGATATTTTGAATGTTTTTCACTCAGTCAAGGTGCATGTTCCCTGCAGAATTAATTTGCTTACACTACTAAAGTTCACTAATACTAATAGTTATGTTCTTTTACATTCCTAACAACCTAACATCAGGAAGATGAGGAGGGAAGCTGGATAAGGTTGGAGTCTTTCTATAATATTTCTTCACTCTGTAGCAACAAAAAGCAATTGAGGATGTAAACTTGTGTGACCTGCTTTAGTAGGTGTTTTTCACACCTTAATTTATTCATAGTATCATTAATGACTTGAAGAATGTAATCAAATAAATCACAGGATTAAAGATTACATCTCATGGATAATTTTGAACATTTCCCATATGGGATCATGGAAATTACTTTGAACGAAGGTTGTTTTATTTATGAATAGAATCTTTTATACAAAGTCCCCTGGTTTAGGCAACTCCTGAGTTTATGTACATGTAGTTCGTTGCTGGGTTAGTTTTGTTCTAAAATGTACTGCTGAAAAAAATCATGAAATACACTTCTAAACCTGAAAGTTGGCACGGGGCCTTTCCCTCTATGTCTTTATATTGTTATTTGACTAAGTACTGCCCTACTGTGTTGAGTTAAAGATCTTAGTAATGGAGTTCTCAGAAATTAAGGCTTATCACTTCACAGAGATTGAATTTCAGCTGCCTAACTCTTCACTACACAGAAAGCTCTGCCCCATGTTTTACAGTGTCTGAGTCAGATGACTTGGTTAAATTCCCAGCATCCCTCTGCCCTCTTGGGTCTTTGGTGGGCACAGTGCAGTACCAGGGGACTTGTAGTTCTTCAGCTTTTCCCAGGGGCACGGTATTCGGGGGCTCAGAAGAGTTAGCATATGTCTGAAAGCAAGTATAAATGAGTTAAGATTAGAATTTGCTGATTCCAAGATGATGCTTGAAACAGTTGCTTCTGTTTGCATTTCTAAAGGTTATTCAGTTATAGCACTTGGTTGTTTGTTTTGTTTGTTCATTTGAAAAAAAGAGAGGTGGAACTTGGTGACACATATGGGTCATCCCAGGACTTGGGAGGTTGATCAAGCATGTTTGTTGCAAATTTGAGACCAGCATAGGCTACATAGTGAGTTCAAGGTCAGCCTAAACTACATAGTAAAATCCTGTCTCAAAATTACAAAAAGTTTAGAAACAAAAACTAAGAAGAAAGAGAATAGCTACTAACTGGGTTTCCCTCCCTGGGTTTAGATACTCCCTGCCTCTAGAATCACTTAAATTCACCTAGTTAGAGGTCTCTCTACAGGACCAACAATGACCATCAGTGAATTAAGCAGTGCATTTCATAATTACGTAAGTTTCAATATATTCCAAAAGACAAAGTAGAATATGGTCACCACTTCAATATGAAATAGCATCAGAGACATAAAGTGTAGTTGAATAAGCTTAACATTTGCTTTTTGCAGTGACCATATAAAAGGGGCCCATGCAGAAGATTCCAGATTTACCCCACATGCAATGTTCTGCAGAAGCTTGGTGCACTTTGCCACCATCCTTTCCCAGACAGAGCTGCTAGGACAGAGCTATGCTAGCACAAAGCATTGTGCTTTGCCCGTGCTGGCACTGGGTGGCCTCGCTCCTGACTGAGCTTTGGAAGGAACACTCAAGTGTGGTCAGAACTGTTCGCATATCAGATGTAAGATATGACTGGCTGTGTAAGAAGGCTGTGCCAGCTGCCAGGAGCCATTAATGAGCAGGACAGCTGCAGTCCCACTCTCATGGAGCTCGCATTTTACTGACCTTGAGACTGAGCGTGACTTGTCCATGCTTGGAGCATGAGGTCCCTTTGCACACTTCTTCAGAAGGCTGTGGTGGCAGCCAGGGAGAGGAGGAGGCTCTCCCTCAAACTGAGTCTGAGCTGTCAGAATCTGCATTATCAGCAACTGCAAAAGTAGTAAACAGAGATATGGAGGGTTTGCTTCCGCACAGCTTTTTATTTGGAAGATTTCTTCTACTCATTAGAAGAGAGCATAGTCAGCAGGCCAGAAAACATCAAATATTCAGGCTGTGAATCCCAGGCCCATGAAAGTATGACTCAAAGGACTGCATCATGGTAACATTGTTAGGTATCTTAATGGTTACCATAGTGGTATATTTGTCACTCATCATTTAAAGAAAGTTATGAAATCTTTTCTGTTAGAATTGGAACATTCCTCTTAGCTGAGCCATCCCTTGTATCTTGACTGGAACAAATAAAATACTAGAGTGGAATCCATTGTTCTAAACCAAACATGGAGGCCATGCATGGTGGTTTATGACTGTAATCCCATAACTCAGGAGGCTGAGGCTGGAAGATATCAACTTAGAGACCAGCCTGGGCCTAGTGAGACCCTGTTGTAAGGGGTTGGGGATGTAGCTCAGGTTAGAGTGCTTGCCTAGCAGGTATGAAACCCTGAGTTCAAGCCAGGAGAGGATGGATGGGAATGGATAGTTTTTATTTTAAAGGATTCCTCAATGTACCTTAGGATTCCTGTGAATGTAATTTAATCTTCCTTAGCTGGAGAGCATAACGAACCATTCTCTGTGAAGTGGTTGTATATCATGTCTATTTTTCATTGTACAGACCTTGGACATATTCTGTTGAATTGGTTGCTAAGGATTTTATGCAGTTTAGTGCCATTATATAAGATACTTCTAAAATCTCAATTTCCAGTTCATTTTGTATATTTAGAAATGTTAATTTTTGTGTATTCATTGTATATTCAGCAGCTTTGCTAAATTCATGTATAAATCCTAATAGCTATTTCATAGACTTTTTCAACAATGATAATTGTGTCATTTACTAATAAAGAGAGGTTTATGTCTTTCTCAACTCATGCCATTTTTATGTTTTTCCTGCCATTACAGTGGCCAGGTCTCCAGCACAGCCAAACATAAACGGTGACAGTGGACACCCCTTGTGCTTCTTTCCGTTCAGGGAGACATTTGGTCCCTCATTGTGAGGTTTTTAGCTGCAGGCTTTTGGTAGATGACCCTTAATAGATTGAGGCGGTGGGTCTTTCGTCCTAGAATGCTGAGTTTCATAACTGAATGATGGATCTTGTGCCACATAAGGTATTATGAGACATGGCTTTCTTTGCTGATCTCGTAATTGGGCAAATTTCATTGATTTTTTTTTTTTCCTCCTCAGTTGGTGAACCAACCTATTCCTGAGTCAGTAAACCTACTTACCATGATTCCTTATTTTTGGTGTAGTGCAGACTAGTCCCAAACTCGAAATACTTTTGTCTCAGCCTCCTGAGTGCTGGGTTTACAGGCATGCACCACCATACCACACCACAAAAAAGTACGTCCTGAAGCCAGATGTGATGATGCACCCCTGTAGTTGCCAAAACTCAAGAGACTGAGCCCAGAAGTTGGCTGTTATAATGTCCTATGACAATTGGGCATTAAACTAAGATGGACATCATACTAAGAGTGGCATCAATATCTCTTTGCATAGGGAGTGCTTGTGCATAACCACTGCACTCAATCCTGGTAATATAATGGGAATCTCTGTCTTTAAAGGTTGTGGGGAGGGGCTGGGGATTTAGCTCAGTGGTGCAGCACCTGCCTTGCAAGCATGAGGTCCTGAGTTCAATTCCCAGTACCCCCCCCCAAAAAAAAAAGAAAGGAAAAAGTGTAAGTTATATCTGGGTCAGATTGATTGACAGTATTGTTTTTGTCCGTAGCCTTCCTGATTGTTTTCCTTTTCTTAGTCCTTTTTGGTTTTTTGATTGGCACATTGAACCAGTTGTTAAGAGAGGAGTGTTGAAGTCTTCTAAATTTAATTGTATTTTTCTGTTTTGGTTCTTAGTCTCATTAGTTGTTCGTTTATCATTTTAAATTTACTTTTCCTGATTTTCAAATACACTTGTCATTTAGGAAGACAAAGTATTAAAAATAAAATCAAAACCAGCTAGAGCTCATTTGAATGATTTGAATTGATTCTTCAAACTTGTTCATGAGTCATGATCATTCTTTATTCCTATATTATTATATTGAAAACTAATTCAGAAAAGGAATTTATAGACAGGTATGATTTTTCTATAGCTTGGTAAATTGTCCTAAATGAGTCATAAAATTTTGCCAATATGATTTCTGTTGGATAAAACTTTAGGAATTTGAAAAGGTAGGAATGGGAGACCAAATATTTAGAAATTATGAAAAGCAATGTTGTCATTCATTTAGCCTTTAAGAATGTTGTCTAGATTAAAAATCTGAACTGATGTCACTCATTTGTTGAAATCAGACACTTGCATATGGGGACATGGACCACGAGTGGATTGGCAATGAGTGGCTGCCCAGCCTGGGCCTACCTCAGTACCGAAGCTATTTCATGGAGTGCCTTGTGGATGCTCGGATGCTGAACCACCTGACCAAGAAAGACCTGCGGGGGCGGCTGAAAATGGTTGACAGTTTTCACAGGTGAGGCAGTGCAAGTGGTTCTTCCTAATGGATCAAGAGACTTCACATTGCCACCGTTAAATAACCCCTTATTTTGTAAATAGGAACAGCTTCCAGTGTGGACTTATGTGCCTAAAAAGGTTAAATTATGATCGGAAAGAACTGGAAAGAAGAAGAGAAGAAAGTCAGGATGTAGTTAAAGGCAAGTACATTATGCCGGATGGATGCAGCACATGCCTGCTGCCTCCCAGGCAGCCTGGGTGATTGCCTGTTTGAAAAAGTATAGCAGCCAGCTGAGCTGGCACATACCTGCAATCCTAGCACTCTGGGAGGATATAGCAGCAGAGTCACAAGCCTAGCCCAGGCAGCTTGGACTCCGTGAAACCTTCTCTCAAAATGAAAAGTATAACAGGGCTAGAGATGCAGCTCAGTGCAAATCCCTGTGTTTATTCCTGAGTACCTCAAAAAGAAATCAAGGGCTTAGTGATAAGGCACTTGCTTACCACTTGCATTGCCCTGGGTTTGATCCCTAGGACTGAAAAAAAAAAAGCACAAAATAATCATACATTTATCTGGGAATTACACAAATTACAGTTCCAGCTACTAAGAATACTAAGGCAGGAAGATCACAAATTCAGGGCCGACCTGGCAATTTAGTGAGACCCTGTCTCAGAACACTAAAGCTAGATTTGAAAATTAGGGGTGCTAAGAATGTAGTTCAGTGAAAAAAGACTTGCCTAGCATGCTCAGGGCTCTGGCTTCTGTCTCTAGTACCACAAAAAAATAAATCAGGGAAGACTTTTAAGTGGAAACAACTGGCTTGGCATGATAACAAGAGGAGGGATGAAAAGGGGTGCCCTGAGACAGTGTGTGCTTATCTCAGTCTGTAGGCTACCCTCTTGGTGCTGGCATTCTTTCATGTAGTTTTCCTTTTGTTGTTGTACACTGTATACGCTCTCTCAGAGATGCTGCCTTATGCTATTAGATCAGAGCAAGGCAAACAAGCCACTGCCTTTTGCTTACTGGATAGAGGTTAAAACTACAGCTTTGGGAGCTTTTTCTAAGGCCTGTGGCAGCATGCAGGGCACACAGTTCTGCTCCCAGAGGGAGGGAGAGGTCAAGGCAACCAATAGCCTAGCACCCATAATTTTGTAATTTATTTATTTATTTTGAGACAGAATTTCACTAAGTACCCTGGTCTGGGATTACACCTGTGACCCTCCTGTCACAGCACCCATACTAACTGGGATTGCAGTCCTTACAGAAACCACAGAGTGTCCTGTGGGCAAAGGAAAGACATGTCAGAAACAGGCCAGGAGGTAGGAGAGGGCATGGCAGCCCCCTCAGTATGACAGGGACAGGCATTTTCTCTGAAGACAACACTGAATGTCATGCTCACGAGAGTCTCTCAGAATTCTCGGTAGTTACTAATAGCACTGCAGTGATGAGAAGAAATGAGACTTACTGAATAATGATCAAGCACTGTGTCAAGTCTTCCATAGTTGATTCATTCAGGCTGCATCGTGGTTCTGTTATTTTCATCCTCATTCTGATGTCTTTTTCTAAATAAAATAAAGGATTATCTATTGGCCAGGGATGTAGCCCTGTGGTAGGACACTTGCCTAGTCTGTGCAAGGCCTGGGTTTTAATTCTTTTAAAACAAAGAATACGTTGAGGTCTATTTAGAAAAGAAAGTCATGGCCGGGGATATAGCTCAACAACAGAGCGGCTGCCTGGCAAGTGCAAGGTCATGAGTTTGATCCCTGGTACCAAAACAAAGTTGAGAAAAAAAATCAGACATGAAATGTATTAATCCATTTAATTTGTTTTCTATATCCCCTCTCCATATTTTGTCAGTTGGCAAAAGCAGTCTTTGAAAAGATTGGTGGTCAGATATATTTTTACAGAGTGGCAATTGTTTGGTCTGTAATAGAATACATTTAATAATTATCTTTGTATGATATACGATTGCCAAAATCTAGTATGCTGGAATGTCTTTAAAATTCTTTCTTTGTAATATATTAAGATGTTGATATGACCAAAGCTTCAGAAGCACAGGGGCTGGGGTATGGCTCAGTGGCTTAGCACCTACCTGGTAAGCACAAGGCTCTGAGTTTGATTCCCAGTACAACAACAAGAAAAAGTAAAAGAAAACGAAGGTCAGAAGGTCAGAAGCAAAGAGTTTGTGTTGAACTCAGCAAGGTATCTGAACTGTCATGGTATCTGCCCCTTTCATGATGGAGAAGCATTTCAGGAGACTCTGGGGTCTGTGTAGGAAACATGCTTATACGTGCTAGGTCTGACTCTGACCCTCAGCCTGATGTTTTTGCAGTCTTAGGATTGAACCCCAGGCCTTGTACATACTAGGCAAGTGATCTGCCACCAAGCTACATCCTCAGCCAATCATGTTGTATTGTTCCCTGAATATATCCTATCCACAATCTTACTGTGACACCTGAGTGCACTAGGGGAGGCTTCTAAAGGGAAAGTTTTTATTAGAATGAGGCAGAACCAAAACAGCTGTGTCTAGGTGTGTGTCTGTCAGTATTTGTGAGTGTGGAGTCCATTTTCAGGAGCTGAGGGATCAAGATCCATGCTAGGAATCTTTCCCCTGCATTGCAGGACATGTATGATGAAGAGGTTTTCTGAAGCCACATTTACAGTTGTTTTGTTCTTTCACAGATGTGCTTGTTTGGAGCAATGATCGAGTGATTCGCTGGGTCATATCCATTGGCCTTAAAGAATATGCAAACAACCTCATAGAGAGTGGGGTTCATGGCGCACAGCTGGCCTTAGATGAAGCCTTCGATTACAACACATTGGCCCTGTTGTTACAGATCCCGACAGAGAACAGAAAGGTGACAACGGAGTCTGTGCCTCTGTCTGCTTAGCCACAGTGTTCGGTTTTTCTGTGGTTCTAGAATACTTATTTTTCATTTGAATGGAGAGAAAATTTAACTCTAGACAACTAGTAATCACTTTCCATAACTAATCTATAATATGGTAGTTCAAAATAAGCAAATGCTTGATTTTTCACTATCTTTTCTTTCCAGTTTGTGTTGCAAGCATGTGAGTCTTTGAAGTCTTTGTTTTAAAAAATTGTAATGTGTAACATCCTTCAGATATATTTAGTTGTTGTTTTGTTACTTCAGGCTCGAAATGTCTTGGACAAAGAATTTGCCGACCTTTTGGTCCTTGGGACTGTCAGACGTTTTGATGTCGTAAGTTTTCAGCTTTTTTCTCCTCTCACTGCTAGGAATCAACCTCAGGGCTTCACATATGCCAGTTGAGTGCTCTACTACTGATCCTTGCTCTTGGTCCACTACTTAATTTTTGGCAACCTTCAAAAATTATTTCTATATTGTCAAACAGATTGCAGCCTGCGATCAAAGTCTTAAGTTGTGTTTTGGTGACAGCTGACTGTCCTGCCCCAGTTCTTCTGTTTGGAAGGTTTCTTTCAAAAGTATATTAAATTTCCCCTCATGCTAAATCATAACTAACCTGTTGCCATACATTATGATTGTCTTCAGTGAGCTCCAAGAGTACTTGATTTTCACAAAGAAGATGGAAGCTGAATCTGGAAGCAAAGCATTTGTTGGATTATTTGTAGCCAGAATATTTTGAAAATAAATAAAAGTACATTATATAGCAGGCAAGAGCTTGTCCACAGTAAGAAATAAAATATTCTGATGGGTGAGAAAATCACATCCCTGGTGCCCAGGACTGCCCTCATTTCTCCAGTTGGGGCCCAGCAGGAATGTAATCATGTTTCCTCTCACACTGAAGTTCCAGTGTGTGCAGCACTGTTGGGAGCCGCGGCCGACACCGGTCACCTTACTTGGCGGACATAGGGCCTGTGGGTGGGAGCGGAGCCTGAGCTAGATTGCCCTTCCCATCGAGTGAGCCAAGTTGGCGCCTGCTTCCTGCCCCCTGATTGCGCTGGCGACTTAAACAACCCGCTCTGTAAGATAGTCTGCCTAGCAACAACTGATGTTAGCCAATCAGCCCGCATCGCGCGCTTTGAACTGATTGGCCACTGTTACCCTATAAAAGTAAATGCCTCTCCCGCCACAAGAGAGAAGCACAGAGGAAGCACAGAGAGAGATAGAGAAAGTCCACCGGCGAGAAAGGGCTGGTGACAGAGCAGAGGCCTCGAGGGGCCCACGCGGAGACAAATAAAGGCAAGGTTGCACACCGCCAGACTTTGTCGTGTGTCTTTCCTGCCGTCCGGGAGCAACCCCGACATTTGGTGGCCCGTACGGGGACTGATCAACCCCGAGACACGGCGGTGGTGTGCAACGCTCCAGCGTGGTGCTGCCGGACAGGTGAGTTGGGGATAAGCCTGGGCTCTGGGTGGCGCGCACCTACAGGGCTTTTAGACTCCCCTCAGGCTCACGTGTAGGTGACGGGTTCTTTAAGTCACACGCGGTGAGTTACAGCCTTTAGAGGTTAAAGATGGGTAATTTACTGAGCGCGGAGGCGCGGCCCTTGGTAAAGGCCCTTAGAAAGCTTTTAAAAGCTAGAGACCTCAGGGTAGGTCAAAAAACACTAGAACTATTCATAGCAGAGGTAGATAGGGTGGCTCCCTGGTTTTTACCCACAGAGCATTCAAACCTGCCGTCATGGGAGAAGTTAGGCGGGGACCTCGCCTCGGCGGAATTGGGAGGCGATATTTCGCCGGCTATTCGCCCCCTGTGGGAAATGATACATGCGTGCCTTGACTCCTATGCCGAGTTGCGCCGCGAATTGTGTGCGTGCGCCGCTCGAAAAAAGCAGAGAGAGGAAAAAGGACCCCCGAGCGCCCTCTGGCGGGGAGGAGATAGAGAGCCATCTGCTCCGCCCTGGAGCTCTTCTCCAGAAGCGGCTCCCCGCCGAGAGGCCGCTACAGGGAACCCTCCCTTCTCTCAGCCGGCACAGGAAGTGACGCCCCGTTCCACTCTGTCAGGACCGCCGTCCTATGACGTTGCGCCGCGGGGCGGACGGTATTTTCATGGGCGGCTACTCTGCCGAGCAGGCTGAGAAAAACGCCGGTCGAGGAAACGGGGGCTGGGGATTTAGCTCAGCAGCATAAGCGCCTGCCTTGTAAGCAGGCAATCGCGAGTTCGATCCCTGGTACCGATAAAAAAAAAAAAAAAAAAAACGAAAAAGACCAAAAATAAAAAAAATAAAAAATAAAAAATAAAAAACAAAAAGGGGGAGTAAGCCAAGGCCTGCCTCCAAAGGCACGGTTATCTATGGCATGACAATGGATGGGCCCGGATCCGGTGGTTAGCTGGAACCGAGGCGCGGTTTGTGTTTTTCCGCAGGAACCGGGACGAAAACCACTGTGGGTCCCAGAGAGGTTGACGCGACAAGTCCCTCGACTGAAGATCAGGCCTGTTCCACCAGAGGCCAACCGCAGACCCAACAACAAGATGAGCCCTAAAAGAACTGCAGGACAATCCCTTTTTGGGGGCCTGGAACGGCTTGCTCCCCTATGTGCTACCCTTGTTAGGCCCTCTATGCTCCTTGTTCTTGCTCCTGCTTATAGGACCATGCTTGCTCCGATGGGTTACATCATTTATTAATGGGCGCCTTGCGGCGGCCCGGCGTCAAGTACGCTTGGTTGCCCATGCGGCCCTGGCAGCAGCCCGTGATGGGCACAATGATCCCCAGGCTTACGCATGGCTCGCTCGACTGGCCTACGACCGGGTCTAGGTGTGGCGGGTCTTCCGCATTCCTTCCCTAATGACACCACACAGCAGGGTAGGTGAGTCAATGACGGGTAAGAGCGTGCCTCCCCAGCACAACTTGACCTAAGCCAGGCCCTACCCCATACTGCACGAAAGCCGCTGGATTACTAGAATCTGCCCAGATCTAGATGCCTCTCCGAGGGGATCACACGGAGGGGCATGAGTGCATGCCTATGTGCATCCAGGTTCACTCCTGGCCCTGGAAAAAGGATGAGGGTCTCAAGGCTTTGGCGGACCCGGGGGCGGCCGACCAGGGTCCAAGCCAAGGGCCTACGGTGGGCCTCAACACAGGGCATAAGCCTCTGCACTCGATCCAGGGCGGGCTGCGATGCATACATTCATTCAAAGTAAATAAAATAGGGGGAGATGTTGGGAGCCGCGGCCGACACCGGTCGCCTTACTTGGCGGACATAGGGCCTGTGGGTGGGAGCGGAGCCTGAGCTAGATTGCCCCTCCCATCGAGTGAGCCAAGTTGGCGCCTGCTTCCTGCCCCCTGATTGCGCTGGCGACTTAAACAACCCGCTCTGTAAGATAGTCTGCCTAGCAACAACTGATGTTAGCCAATCAGCCCGCATCGCGCGCTTTGAACTGATTGGCCACTGTTACCCTATAAAAGTAAATGCCTCTCCCGCCACAAGAGAGAAGCACAGAGGAAGCACAGAGAGAGATAGAGAAAGTCCACCGGCGAGAAAGGGCTGGTGACAGAGCGGATGCCTCGCGGGGCCCACGCGGAGACAAATAAAGGCAAGGTTGCACACCGCCAGACTTTGTCGTGTGTCTTTCCTGCCGGCCGGGAGCGACCCCGACACAGCACATTGGAAGGTCACCAGGAAAGGCTAAGTAAAGCAAAACAGTCAGGGGCTTAGGAGTCCTTCTGAAGGACAGTTATCTTTATTAGAGTGTGCCTGTTCTGTGTTTTCATTTGCCAGGAGGATGACAAACACTTTAGGAGAGCACCTTCATGGAGAGAGAAGGTTAGAGAAAAGGCCATTCATGGCGTGGCAACTGGGTCATCAGAGACACTCCCTGCAAACTTCCGAGTCTCTTCTTCCAAGTCTTTCTGCTCTATGCAGCCCAATGAGATCCAGATGGATGGTATGTGGTGGGCCATGTAATGCAACACTGGCTGGGAGCATGTGCGCGCTAATAATTACCTAGAGTGGCCATTGTATGTGTTACAAAGCATCTGAGTTTGGTTGCATGCCCAGGTGTCAATGGTTCAGGATTAGCCCTAACATTTGTTGGAAAATGGTTAACAACAATAATAGAATTTTTAAAAAATCTGTCTGGTTGAACCTTAGCATCCTTGCCCAACTAATAAAGTGGAGCACCCATCTGTGCTCTCAGGGCTGAGGCTGATGCACCTGTGGGGTGCAGTGTGTGGCAGGCAGCACTGGCTTGCCAGGAAAATTGCAGTGTGACACTTGGGACTTCTCTCCACACTAGAAGAAATGGCAGAGTAAACTTTAGCTCACAACTTCCAGGTTCTGCCAACTCTGTCTTTCCTTTTCCCTTCCCTCCAGTGTTCTCTTTCCATATACTTACCTTGTGCCACCTGAAGAGGGACAGGGAAGAAGGCAGAAGCCTTGTGGAGACCGCTAGGGCAGCCCTGCTGCCTTCTCAGTGAGAGATGGCAAGGCATTGACCTTTCCAGTGCAGTCGGGATGGCCCTTATGTAACTGCTGACTGAAGAGTGCAGTTGGCTGAGAGGAGACCTTGAGTCCCTGACAGTCCTGCCCACCTAGTAAAAGGCACTGATAGGGTCCTGAGAGAGCCCACATCCACATCCAGCTCTTGTGGTAGCAGGGACATGACCTTGAGCAAGTCATGCAGCTGTGCTGTGCCTCAGTTTCCATATCTGTAACTTGGGCATCATAGTAATGTGATTTTGATGCTTCAATGTGTCATGTGGGTGAAGCTGATGGAGTCCTGAGCCTCGTGCATTGCTGACAATCTCAGTGTTAGGTGGAGACTTCATTCCTTCTCATCCCTGATGTACATGGTTGTGCTGTATAAACTGTACCAGTGGGGTTTTTACAAGTTTCCTGTTGTTAGCCCCCTGTGTAGGTAGTTTTCCTTTTTTCTCTTTCTTGCCTGTATGAAAATCAGAGAAAAATACATTTATATAAACTTTTTAAAGCTGAACACTTTCCAGTGTGTCTTTTAACTAGTAAGTTCTTAAGAATTAACACTTTCTCCCTCAAGGTGTCTTACAAATGTTGGCAAGGCATGGAAGTGCATGCCTGTAATTCCAGTACTTGGGAGGCTCAGGCAGGAAAATCATGAATCTGAGATGTATGTGAACCATAAATCCAGGTTAAGGCTATACTGAGCTTCATAGGAAGACCTTGTATCATAAATAAAATAGATAAGTAAGTAAGCTGTGACGGGCCTTGAGCTTAATTTCCATTGGCTTACTAAATAGTCTAAATGAGTACTCTGTTGTTTTCCCTGTACCTTCAATTTCTGTTTCACTATAAGAATCACATTTTCTCTCTGAACATTGCAAGCAATATTAACATAGCTGGGTGTGGAGATCACCTGTAATCCCGGCACTGGGGAAGCTAAGGCAGGAAGGTTGCTGAGAGCTCAGTACCAGCCTCGAATTCACAGGGATTGTAGGGCCAGTGTGAACTACACAGGGAGACCTTGTTTCAACAAAACAAAACAAAAATAAAGGGTAGTATTAATGAGTTTGTTTGTTGTTGATTTGTTTTTTTGGTGGCATTTTTGTGGTTGTGGTTGTTGTTTGGGGGTTTGGGGTGGTACTGGGGAGGGAGCCTTCTACCTGTACTACACACCACCCCTTCTTTTATTATCCAGAAAGGGTCTTGTTAAATTGTCCAGGCCTGGTTTGAACTTGGAGTTTTCCTGCCTCAACCTCCCAGAGTGCTAGGATTACAGGCATGTGCAGGCAAACTGTGTAACACTAAATTTAAATGGATTGAATAGAAAAAGTTGTCAGGGTAAATTACATAGAAGATGTCTATGCCACATTGGTAAGAAGGTGGACTGTTACAAATGACTTGCGAGGTGGAGAGTATAAGATAAATTACAGCATGTCTCCTAGACTTTAGAATGAAGGTTTACAATGACTGCCCAGTCTTACCAACGCGGCCAGCTATCTGTCTTTTCTAGAGCTATGGCAAGATGTTGCTAAGAAGTATTCCTGGTATACTTGCAGGAAAACAAAACACTGTACAACTGGGAGTGTAAATATCTGCAGAAGATGTTGCAAGCTCTTTACCCAGTTTGTGACAGGGCTGTACTGCCTGTTTAGCCACCCAGTGTTTGTCAAACAAGGACCCCTGCCTCCGTGTTCTCCATCCTTTTTTGTAGAAACTGAGACAAGCTTTAGTCTTCTGAGAAGCACTGGCCATGGCCTCTGGGCTGTGCCTCTTTGCCTGCAACCCACCCTGAGAGCAGTGCCTGCAGAGCAGCTGGGGTTCCCTCCTCCCCTTCGTGCTGCTGATTCACCCCATTCATTCCTGGAGGTCTAGCTGTAGGGCACAAGGAAAAGTCCAGTTGCTATATCAAAGTGTGGCTTAAGGAGCTGCAGAGTAGCTATGTTAGGTGGTTGTCCTCTCTGTATGTGCACACTGAGGTGGTTTGCACTTCCAAGGGGCCCTATTGCTATTTTAGGTGCCAGTGTCCCCTTGGGTGGTGACAGAACCACTCTGGGCAGCCCTCTGATGCTCTTGCCTCACTCTCCCAGGCAGTCTTAGGATTCCTCAGTAGACACCATTGTAGGTGTGGAGATGTGTGTCTTACCTGTGCCCCGTGTGAAGTGTTAAAACTAACAGCACTTTGTTTTTGCACACTTCCTCTCATGGTTGTTGGAACAGGCAGTGTATCAGAAACACAGAAGTTGGATTCTGCGACAGCCAGGACTTCCTCCTGTTAAGCCTCCTGTTGGTGAGTAGAGAGCAGCGTAATCCCTGGAGATCATCCCTGTACAGCAGGGTGAAGCTGTAACAGGGCTAACAGTGTGGGTTTAGACCATGCCAATTTACATGGGGAACTTCAAAATGACAGAAATAGTAGCTCTGTACCCATCAAGGCGATTTTGGTTTTTAGCTGACCATAAAGAGGGCTGTGTGTCATTTTTGTTCTGTTAACTTTTATTTTTATTAGTAAGTTAGTTGTACTTAAATTCATCATGGAGAGTTGGTACCTGTACTAGGACATCTTAAATCTTTTTACCTCCCCTCTCCTGTCTCCCTTGTGTCTCCAGTTTTAAAGAAAAACACGTTCGTTCCCATTTTTTCCTAAAAGCTAAAAATGCCTACTCACTTGAAGTGATGATCTGCTGATGCCATTGTTGGGGGGTGGGCAGGAAAGCAGCAACTGAGGAAAAAAGCACCCCAAAAGCTGACCACATCAGGAGGCCAGAGCCTGAGATTGGGAAGCATCTCTTCCACTGTGTTTATACACAGTGGTACACAGCTCCTATACTGGCTTTGTTACAAACACACATGTACGCACACATATATGGGGAATTGAACCCAGAGTGTTCCCACTGTGCTATATCCCTAGCACCCCATCCCCTTTTTAGTGGGGACAGGGTCTTCCTAGATCATCTAGTCCTTGTTCAAACTTGCAATCTTTCTGCCTCAGCCTTCTGACATACGGGATTGCAGACGTGCCACCATACATGGCAGACATTTTAAACACAAAGCTGCATTGCCATGCCTGGACGCCAGTGAGCCACTTGTGTCCTCATGGTCTAGAGCTCTGACTGACTGATGGCAGAGGTGTCATTGACCCGTGATCAGAACCCCAGCTGGAGCTCTGCCTACTGTGCTTGTGTTCAGTGCCTCAGCTGGAATCTGGGATGGGCTCCATAGTCTTTTAACTTTAACTTTTAAAACTGTCACAAAATGTAAAACCTCTCTAGTCCATGAGCAGGGTCCTCAGTGTTCTGCCTGCTGACGCTCCAGCAGGGAGGAGGCAGGAGGCCTGGGGAAGTGGGCCCCAGCGTGTGTGTCTGAAGTCATGGTCCTTTTCCAGGTGGTTTGTGTTAAGAGAGGCTTTCTGTTTGTTTTTATCTTCCAGTTTTCCTGCACTACTTCTACAGATGATATGCAGCATTTGGAATCCAACAGAGACTACGTTTTTTAATTCAGTCGAATCGCTATCTGTTAATACTTGTTATATGGAGTCCTAAGATATTTTATAACAGTTTTTAATTAGTGAAAAATTCATCAATAACATAGAGAAAATATTTTAGAATTTAATGTTTCTTCTATTTTTGTAAACTTAGGACTTTTCATTTATATAGTTGCTTACTTTTTCATCTATGTTTAGATATCTCTGGAAGCAATTCATGTTCTTATATCTAATTTTAGTCTTTCAAATGAATGTACTGTAATGCTTGTATGTATAAACCGTATGAACAAATACACGGCTTTTGTAAATTGTGCACATATTGTAATTATTACTATTTAACTTTTTAATGATAAGCCATCCCTGAAAAAATTAGTTTACTACACTTTTTTTTTTTTTAATTTTGTTACTTTTTTTTTTTTTTTTTTGGTCTTTTTCCTTTTTATTGGTACCAGGGATCGAACTCACGACTGCCTGCTTCCAAGGCAGGTGCTTATGCCGCTGAGCTAAATCCCCAGCCCCTTTTTTTGTCTTTTTTGTTTTTATCGGCACTAGGGATCAAACTCAGGACTGCCTGCTTGCAAGGCAGGTGCTTATGCCACTGAGCTAAATCCCCAGCCCAGTTTACTACATTTATAAAATTGTTGTGACATAAGCAATGTGCATTATCCTTCACCTTGCTCTACATCAGTCATTTTAAAATCAGGAGACTTCATTCCAAGCAGTTGTCATATTTTGAGGTTGACTGACCTTAACTGTTCTTTTTTTAGCAAGAAATCAGAGTCTAATAAAGTCGGGACTGAACCGTTGCACCAGAGCACTATAGAACTTTCTTAGCACTGGTTCCCTTTTCCCCATCCTGTGTCTGGACTTGGGGAGCTTGTCTTCAGAGACTTGACCAGAAGCCATGAGCTTGGAGCTGCTCTCAGCAGGGCTGGAGTGGCCAGGGGTGGACCCCAGCCTGGCACCTTCCCTGCCTCTTTCCTGTGAGCATGTGGAAGGTGCCTCCAGCTATTCTTAGAGGACCAATCACTGAGCACTGTGCTCACATCTCACAGACATTGGTGCATGAGCAGATGAGAGCAGGAAACCCTGAAAATAAAGTTGTACAACTCTAACTAATCAAGGCCTTATTTTTCATATGTCAGTCACCTTTTTACATTGGTTTATAAACATGTTTCAACTAGTCATACATTTTTAGATTTTGATGACATAGCCATTTTGGATTGAACAAGTAGCAAAAGCAACTTGCTTTTCACTGGCATATTAAAAAGCCAGCAAGGAAGGAGTCAGATCAGGGTGCATGTTATTTATTGTGCAACTGATACATGGGTAGAGGCAGCATGCCTTTTTAATTTAGTTTATGCAGGGGCTGGGGATTTAGCTCAGCGGCATAAGCGCCTGCCTTGCAAGCAGGCCGTCGTGAGTTCGATCCCTGGTACCGATAAAAACGAAAAAGACAAAAAAAAAAAAAAAAAAAGCAAAAAAAATAATTTGGTTTATGCATACAATTCACTTATACAATCCATATTACTGCCCTTTTTCTATTAATTTTTGTGGAATTTTCTGAGTATGTAACAAAGTATACAGTCATATACATATATATACTTTTGAACTATTTTAATCACAGTATTATTTATTGCTTTCTTTCAATAAAGTTCTGAATCATTTTTCACTGCCAATGAAGAGTTCTTTGAATAGGCCAAGATTTTGTTAAAAGTTAAGTGCGGCTGGAGTGTGTGTGTGTGTGTGTGTGTGTGTGTGTGTGTGTGTGTTACCAGACATCGAACTCATAACCTCATGCTTGCCAGGCAGGCACTCATGACACTGAGCTAAATCCCTGTCTCAGGCACAGCTGTTTTGCTTCCTGCTCCAGGCAGGTTCTCTGAAGGTAGTGTCGCTATGGAAATCACCGGACAGAAAGCTGGATGACATAAATGTAGCTGGGCATGAGGCAAGAGAAGATGGGGTCCTGCTGAAGATTGGGCCTGGTTAGACCAGGGCGGGGAGGCGCCCCCAGCACAGTTGGGGGTGGGACACTGACAAGCTCAGCTTTGCCTGCTGTGTCAGACCCTTTGTTCATACAGTGTTACCCTCCTGTTTTCAAGTTTCACATGGCGCATCTCAGAGTAATCATGGGTTTGAGCTCTTGGTTCTCAGCCTTTTTCCCTGCAAACTGTGTGTTTTTGAATGAGGTTTGCAGAGCAGAGAGAAGAGGCCAGACTCTCCAGCGTTCCTTGGTGTGTCCCTGGGTGGTAGGTGAGTAGATGGCCCATATCCTAGTGCTATTGCTGCTGCTATTCTGGACACCCACATATCACTTAATGCATTTCAAATATCCCACATGCATTTATGTCTCATTTCCTGGCCTTAATTCCCTAGTGACAATGATTAGTCAGTGATTTTGCCTTCCAGTCATCTGTCGTATTTCATGAGGGAATTTACCCCAAGGATCCCAAGAGCCATGGCTGCTCGGGCCCTGGTACCCGACGCTGGGACCCCACGGTGAGCCCTGCTTTCCCCACAAAAACAGGTCCCAGAGACTGAGACAACTTGTCTCCAGCTTCCAACCCCTAGCCTTCATTTTCCTGGTCCTCCTCCCAAATTCACATTTTGGGGGGGTGGTGTCAATGTTTCACTATCTTTTTCGTTTACCTTTAAAATTATGACTTTTTTTTTTTTGGAGACAGAGTCCACTATGCAGTTCAGGCTGGCCTTGACCTCACAGCTGTCCTCCCACCTCAGCCTCCCCAGTGCTGGAATTACAGGAGTGTGGCACCCTGCCCAGCTGTGTTTATGAGTTTTTATGGCTCTGCTGTAGTTCTAAAGTTTGCTACCTCTCATCGATGACTTTAGACCACTTACATTTAGTATTACTGATATTATTTGAGTACATCTACCATTTTATTTTTTATGCATTTGTATTTAGTCTATAGTGCCTTTCCTGAGTTCTTTTTTTTTTTTTTCTGGTCTTTTTCGTTTTTATCGGTACCGGGGATCAAACTCACGACTGCCTGTTTGCAAGGCAGGCACTTATGCCACTGAGCTAAACCCCCAGCCCCCTTTCCTGAGTTCTTTTGGGTTTTTGGCCATTTTTAGCGTTCCATTCAAATCCTCTTTCATTCAGCGTTTGGCTATGGAAAAACAAAGACTAAATCTCAGCCTCTGCCACAATAGCACGCTAATCGTGCAGTCTCACAACATGCAGGGGGACATGCGTGTCACTCCACATGCACCGCACTGCCGAGGCCCGCCTTTGACAGAAACGCCAACCCGCGTTTAAGGTGGTTTCTTTGGCAATCCTCAGGCAGCTCTTGCTAGATGCCAGGCTGGTTCTGAGAACTTTCCAGGCTACCCAGAGTTGGTATTTGCCACTTTGAGTTGAGCATAAAGATCTTAACCCCATGCCAGCGCCTGTTAATGCATTTGTCATCATGTCAGATGTACACAAATCAAAAGGTCCTCAGAAATGCCACAGTTTTCACTCTCAACCCTTGTACTTAGGAGGGAACTTCGGACGGAGAAGTCTGGTGTAGTGATCCACAGAGCACTCCCCTGTCACAGCAATGCCCCCGGCTTCCTTCCAGTGTATTTCCCTCTGCCCAGGAGCATCCTATGGGATTGCTGTTAGAGTCACTTTGCTGGCAATGACGTCCTTCAGTTTTTCTCCACCTGAGGACATCTTTCGTTCACCTTTATTCCTAAACAATACCTTTATGGAAGATGGAATTTTTGGCTGGGCTTTATTTTTTTTCTTGTAGCACTTTAAAAATATCGTTCCACTTCATGATTTCTGATGAGAAATCTGTAGTCAGAGCTGGGCGTGGCGGGATATGTCTGTAACCCCAACACTCAGGAAGGCTAAAGCAGGAAGGTCATTAAATCTGAGCCTGGTGTTGACAACTTAGTGACTTAGTAAAACCCTGTCTTTATTTGTTTAGTTATTTATTTATTTTTTTAAATTTTTTAAAATGCAACCTTCAGGCTGGCCTTGAGCTCACTTTGTAGATCAGACTGGTTTTAAACTCACCAGAGATCCTCCTGGGTCAGCCTCCCAAGTGCTGAGATTAGAGGCATTCGCCACCATGCCTGGTGTTTCGAGGCCCTGTGTTTAGATTAAAAAAAAATTTTAAAGGCTGGGCTATAGCTCAGTGTGAAGGCCCTGGGTTCAGTCTCCAGTAACCACACACACACACACCACACACCACACCACACCAAAAGTTCTCTCTCTGTCTTTAGCTTTAGTAGTTTGGTTATGACAATTCCTGACCTTATCTTGTTTGGTAACTGAGCTTTTTGAATCTTCACCTGTGTCTTTCACCAAACATGGGGAGTTTTAACCATTTATTTCTGACCAAAATGTTCTCTAACTGTACTCTTTCCTCCTTCCTGACAGGAACGTTAGCTCCTTAGTATTGTACCACAGAGTCCTGAGCTCGTTTCTTCATTGTTTAAATCTCTTTCCTTTCTGTTGTTCAGACTGGGCCGTTTATATTGATCTGCCATTTACATTGTTATTGAGTCTACTGATGTATTGGGTTTGCTACTGGATTTTGTCATTTCGGTTATTTTTTTATTTGCTTGGTACGGGGATCGAACCAGGACCCTGTGCTTGCCAGGCAGAGCCGTGCGGCTGAGCCAGATCTGTACTGTCATTTTGGCTGTTACACATTTCCTGCCTCTAAAATCTCAGCTTGGCTCTGCGTGTGATTCATCTGCTCCCGCTCCGAGGTGGTCTGTCTCTCTGTTCATCGCTCAGGAGTTTGCCCTTTCTTTTCTGGAGCTGCCTATAATGGCTGCTTTTGTGTCTCAATATCAACTGTTGTATCCTCTTGGAGCTGCTACCTCTTGATTTTCTTTTTGTTTTTCCCTTTGGAGATACTGAGATTCTCGTTCAGCTCCAAAGATTGAGTAACTTTGGCTTATATCCAGACCTCAACAAATAGTGTGTGATGGGACAGGATTCTTGCTTAAATCCTATTTGAATACTGATTTTTCACTTGCTTTAGCAGGAGGCCTGCTTGCTGGGGGCCAGGCTGCAGGTTTGTCTCTCTCCTCTCAGCTGTGGCTTCAAGATCACTTCCATTTGTGAGGCTTTGCACTGCTGTCTTGGATTGAAGGCCAAACTGGAGCTCCATAGCTCAGTTCTGAAATCCCTGGGTATTAGCACAGTCAGCTTTAGGGTAAGTTAGGTAATGACACAGGGAGACATAGTAGCCTTCTGTACTTGACTAGAGCAGAAACCACTCCAGCTTGTGATTCTGTGCAAGTGCTTTTCTTGTCACCCACTCATTTGCCAATTTTCTGTCTCCCCATCTGCGCACCTCTCTAGGATGTGAGCTTCAGGGGAGCAGCAGCTTTGTGCCTGTGGGGAACCAGGACATCGCACCACCTTTAGGGCTGCCTGGCCCACTGAGCATGCTCTGTAGAGGTTCAGAGTGATTCAGTCTCCCCTCCCAGTCTTCAGGGCTCTGGAGACAGCCGCCTGTCTCTTTTCAACTCCTCTTCCTCAAGCTCTTGCCCCGTCAACACACGGCTCTACACATCGCTCAGAAGCAATCTCCAGGTTGCCCAGTACCAAAGGGTCAGGCGCAGAGAAAGCCAAAGATACCTGGGGGAAGAGCAGACAGCACTATCTGTAACGGGGATTACTTCCATCGAATGTGTCAGAAAATCCCCTCCGATCAGCTGTGACAGGGAGAGAATTTATTGCTTTGGGTCAGTGAGAAATCCAGAGGTAATGCTGGCTCTGCGTGAGACTCGGTCTGCTGACTCAAATGTGCTCCCAAGGTGGGGAAGTTGCAGGTAGAGAAGGACATGAAGGTCGGTCCGTAGGGGCCCCAGACGTCCCCGACCCTGGCTCCCCTGCTAAGGAGCAGGACAAGCTCTCCCTCTCCATGTCTCCCTGGCTCTAGCCTGCTGCTGTCTCACAGATCAAATTCACCCAACTGTCAGATGGGGTAGGCGAGTGTAGCGGGGTGCACTCAGGAGAGGCTGAGTGACGTGGTGTTTGTAGTGTGTATCACAGCTAGGGTGTGCATGAGCTTCAGGCTCCAAAGACGACAGCTGCCAGGAGAGAAGAGGGACTCTGTGGGCGAAGAGCTCAGGAAGCAGGAGCCCTGTGCATTGTGTGTATATGCACGCGCGCGCGCGCGTGTGTGTGTGTGTGTGTGTGTGTGTGTGTGTGTGTGTTTCCCCATTTTGGCCTCCGTAAGAGGACAAAGGTCTGCCAATTTACTTCTTGCTGGCAAAGCTGACATAAATGGGCAGGTGAAGGTCCAATCTGCTTTTCAGATACCCAAGGCCACCACGTCCTACTGCACCTTGGTCCAGCCCCACATCGCCCTGTCCTCAGCCTTGCCCCACGAAGTCCATCTGGCTGCTGTGTTCAGATCTCCAGCCTTCAGATGGCAGGTCTGGATTTGAGTCACTCATTCTTGAGTTTCCCAGGAGTATGTGGGGATTCATCTAAAAATGTACCTGAATCCACAGGTCCCCAGGGGCAGCTGGGGAGTCAGTCCACAGAGGACGAGTCTCGGTAGGAAGAACACTGGCACACTTTTGCTCTGCGTTGCCACAGTGCTACCCATTCCCTGGCCGTGGCACTGTTGGAACTTGAATGAAATGGCAGGACGCAGAGATGGAGGGGTCTTCGAGCCACCTGACTGTCCTGCACAGTGACAAAGCCCTCTGCTGGCAGATAACACCTCCAGCTCTTCACTGAACAGATAGGCTTCCCAGCTGCTCCTGAGCCCACGCTCCTCTGCCAGCTGTCACTGATGGCGCTGGTTCCATTTGGGCTGTTCTGACCTCACACACGAGACCACAAAATCACAGAGCTCTGAAATCGTCCTCCTCTTGGGCTGCCACCCCTCATCACGCTGAGCACCAGGCTCAGGAACTGCGAGGAATTTCACCTGCAGTGGATCTGATGAGAAACACTCGGCTGGTGCCAAGAGGTCTCGAGGCTGGGGAGGAACAGGTCCTGCCCCACCCCTTGCCACGGTCCTGCATTAGGGAGTCCCAGCCCCAGGGCAGGCCACAGTGACAGTCACTGCAGGCACGTCACCAGCATGGGCCGCAGGTCACCCCATTGCTATTCACCCGCCCAGCTCTCAGGTCAGCTCAGGGTGGCCTAGCCTGGCTCATTGACACCAAAGTGCCGGGACTGGTTTTCAGGATGTTTCTCGCTCCTTGACAGTGCCTTCCTGTTTTGGAAGCTAGAGGAGCATTTGAAAAAGAGGTTTCATTTTTTTAAAAAAAAAATCCCACCAAGAGTCCACTGGTTGAAGAGAAGGTGGTCAATCGGTGGCAGAGACATCTGTCCCCTCTACTCAGACTAACATGCCACGACCCTCAGATTTTGGCCTCAGCGACACTGAAGCTGTTTTCTCTCCAGTCCCTGTACTTTTCTCATGTGTCAGAAACTATGACATTGTCCAGGCGCATGACACATCTTCAGAGCAGCCTGGATGAGTCTGGAAACACACCCTCAGGCCAGTTCGTCCTCTCTGACTCCATCCTGGGAAAGGATCCACCAGCACGGTCAGTGGTTAAAAACAGAAAGGCAGAACCTAGGAAATAAAGGTTCTGCCGAGAAATGAGTCACGGGGGGGTGGGGGGGTTCACACAGCCTCCCGTTCCTTCCAGAGAGGGCCTTGGGGATGACGAGACAGCCACTCAGCAACAGTGTAGGAACAAGTCCCTGCTTCTATGGAGGGCATGGTCCTGGGGACAGGAGGCTGTCATCTAGAGGTGTCCCAGGGGGCTATGTGGTGATGGCAAAGGTGTCTTGGGCATCATCAGCACCTCACCTGTCACTGAGGGAAGACGGGAGGGTGGAGGGAGGGGGTCTCCCCAAACTTACTCTCAGAGACATTGTGAAGCCTCTTTTCCAAGGCCAGGTTCTGATGATCACTGCTGTGGCCGGTGACCCTCCATGCCATGCCAATTTCCAAGACTAAGGACTGCGTGGCTTGAGGGTAGAATTTAGGTGTGTCCCCAAACCTCCTGTGTTGGAAGCTTGGTCCCCTGTGTGGTGATGTGAGGAGCTGCCAGGACCCTTAAGAGGTAGGGGAGGGAGGGTTAGGGCAGTTGATTGGATCTTGGGGTGCTGCCCCCAGCAGGGATGAAGGCAGGTTCCATGGGGGCAGCTCTTGGCAGGGCAGAGCAAGTTGGGGACAAGTGCCCTCCTTGCTCTGTGGGTTGCCATCCTGCCTGCTGTGAACTCTAGTGGCCTTTGCCAGAGCCCAGCGGATACTGTGCCGCTCCCTGAAACTCCATGGCTGTGAGGTAAACACCTGTTTTCTCTGTAAGTGACCCTGCTTAGGTATCTTGTCATAGTGGTAGCAAATGGACTCATACAAGGCCCAAGTTTAGGTTAAGGGTTAACTAGGATGTGGTACAGAAATTTAACAACCTGACAGATCTCTAAACATACCTGCCTCTTTTATAGCAGAATGCTGTAAAAAATCTCTAATGGTTCTAAGAGTTGAGGTTACACCCTTTCCCAACCAACCTGTCATACTTTTCTTCAAATAGTGTCCTCAGATTTTATTTGCACACAGTTCTTAAATGCTTGCATCTCATGAATAGAAAATGACACCCGGTCTTCAGTGTGCATCAGCCGTGCTACCCACTAGCTCTGATCTCAGGCGAGGATCTCATGTGCTGGCCTGGGCACAGCAGTAACAGCAGTAACATGGAGAAAACCAGGTCTTCCTGCTGCAGTGGTGGTGAAGACCACGGAACCAGCCAGAACAGTGCCAGTCGCACAAAAGGCACTCCATCAATGCCGGCTGGTTCCACTCATCAGCTGCTACCATTAATTACAACAGCAAGGCTGGACTTCTGCCAGCAGCCACAGGTTTATCTGAATGGAGAAAGACCCGATTAGCTCATCTCTGTACTCTGGAAGGGTGAGATAATCCCACTCTCCAGGCTTGATTTCTTTTTTTTTCTTTTTCTTTGGCACTGGGAATTGAACTCAAGACCTTTCACTTGCCAGGCAGGTGCTTATGCCTCTGAGCTGTATTCCCAGCCCCTTGATTTCTTTTTGACAGAACACACATATTGATTTTAAAAGGAAAAAATGGCTAATTAGGGGTAAATCATATTTAAATATCAAACTGAATTGAGTGATTAACAGATGAGATCAATTTTGCTAGTAAAACTTGTAAATTTATATATATTGGCTATGAAATTCTTGTCAGATATGTGATTTGGAAATATCTTCTATTTTGTGGGTTGTTTCTGAATAAACATAAACTTGGCTTTTCATAAGATCTGGCTTATGTAGAAATCTGTACTATCAACTTAAACTTAAGTAGTTGGTTTTTGAAAGTTATCTTCAAATTAAAGTATAACAGTATTCCTTATAAAATTGATTTTATTTTTTAAAAGCATTCATATTATTAGATAAATATATCTTTAAAAATACCATCTGTACAGAAAAAGAGCAGGTCCCAGTCAGAATGGGTCACTCTGGGTTCTGCCACTTGGTGAGAAGCCTCCCCGTGGATCACTCCTCCTGCCCGCACCCAGGAAGTCGTAGGCCTGCTCCGAGAGGTCGAAAGGCTCATGGACTCCGTCCTTGGACAGCAGGGCCTGCAGGGCACCCTGGTTCTCCTGGGTTTGCTTGAGGAAGTCAGCGATGATTTTCCACCGCGCAGCCTCTGTCTCCTCTTCGGCCCACCGGAAGGGGGGCAGCAGCGTGGAGTGCAGCAGCGGGAGCACACGGTCGTGGTAGACCAGGAGGAAGCTGGCCTTCAGGAGCTCTCTGTCCCTCTGGGGAAACAGCGGCAGCCAGCAAGAGTAACCGTGGGTGGAACACATCATTACACTTAAGCAGGAGATTCTGACCCTTGTTAGTTAAAAGCCACCTGCAAGGCGCCATGGGAGAGGTGCCCTTTGTGCCTGACAGCTAAAAAGCCACCCCAGAGCACAGCCGGGGGCTTCCCTGAGACAGTCTCCCAGTGTCTCCTTGAGTGTCACACACTCTCAGGAGACCACGGCATTGCCATCTAACGCTGGTGACAAATGTGTGGTTCTGCTAAGACGCAGAGCAAGGTCAGCTGTGTCTACTTAGCCCAGTGACAGCATAGTAGAGACAACTGTCTGGCTTCTGTAAGGGAGGGACAGATGTACACATGGGGTCCAGAGAAAGGAGATCCAGGAGGTAAGGATTTGGTAGAATTCTAGCAGTGCCTGGGCTGGGAAGCGGGGGTCCTGTGGTCCAGAGGGCACCAGAGCCTCCCTGTATCAAGAGGATCCACCCAGCCCCGAGGCCATCAGGCCATGGTCGGGGCACAAGGGGCACAATGGCCGAGGGCAGAGCAATCCGTATGCAGCGCTCTCCACACAAACACTGCCCTGACAACACTGAGGTACTGCAGCCTGCCTTTTAGCAAAGGTCGTGTGCCAGCTGTGGGAAAGGTCATATAGCAAAGGGAAGCCCAAGTAAGCTGTATAAATAAGTTTGTGGTATATTTATATGCTGTGTAAATAAGTCTATGGGATATAGCACCCCCAGCAGTCAGAGTTTTCGGTTTGCTTGTTCTCGCACAACCCTTACTTAGATCAACACTTCAGATAACCAGCACTTTAGATCAGGAAATGGCAAACAGGACCACGGGGAAATGCGTCTGTGTGTACACAGGGCCTCAGAGGTCCCAGGCCAGCCTCAGTCACTTGTATCCTGGCGGCAGAGGACAGTGCTTGTCGCCAGATGTGTGGCCCGCAGGGTGAAATATTTACCACCCGGCCCTTTACAGAAGTCGCCTGCTGATCTTGGGTCAGCGCAGTTGAACCGCTGCTCACAGATCCATGCGACTTCTGTGATAATCACAGTTCTTCTAAGTGACACGAGCGGACCCAGGCACTTGTGAGTATGGGACACAGCCCAGGCCAAACTCATCTTTCCTTGTCCCCATGTGATTTAGTTGTTGGGAGTTGGAGGGAACATTTTTTTAAAAATCAGGGATATGTGATAGCCAGGGTCTTTTTCATAGCTCAGGCTGGCCTTGAACTTCTATGTAGCTAGCCCAGGCTGACCTTCACCTTGCAGCAATCCTCCTGCCTCAGCTAGAATTATAGATGTATGCTGCCACACCCTGCTGAAAACAAACTTGTCCAACAGATAGAAATTTCTGAGTCGACCCAGCATAATCCAAAGGGGTCTTCAAGAGGCAAAGGGAGGGGCCTGGGGATTTAGCTCAGCGGCATAAGCACCTGCCTTGCAAGCAGGCAGTCGTGAGTTCGATCCCCAGTACCGATAAAAATGAAAAAGAAGCAAAGGGAGGCTAAGAGCTCAGAGTCACCGTGGTGGGATGGGAGAGGACCTTGACTGTTACTGCCAGCTCTGAAGTTGAGGAAAGTGGACAGAATCCACAAGTCCCTCCAGAAACTGGAGGCAGGAGGAAGTGGATTTTCCACTGGACCTGCAGAAAGGAAGGCAGCCTGGCCATACCATGTCTTTAGCTCAGGAAGACCCTTGCCAGATCCAGACCTACAAAACTGAAGGGACACTGTTTCTTTAGGTTATCAAGCTTGTGGTGTCACCAGAGTCTCCACAGACCATCCAGTCTTCATTACTTGGTGGTTGGCATGGTCTGTGTCTGACCACAGAGTCCCTTTCTCCACTAGGTGACTGCTGGGTGCCCAGAAGGTGCTTTGCTTGATAAATGATGCAAACCTGATGGCATGAAGAATCAAGGGACCCACGTTTGGTGATTTCTCCATGTGATGTTTCCTCCCACTTTTCTGTGGTGCAGGGTACAGAACCAGGGCCCTCACACACGCTCTAGTCAGGCACCCTGACACTGAGACACACTCCCAGACTCCCCTCCTCAAGTTTTAATTGGCAGGATCAAAATTTGTCTATATTTATGATTGGTAACATGCTACTTGTTTTGTTCCTTGGATTTTTGAGACACTTTTGCTCTGTAGTTCAGGCTGTCCTTGAACCCACAGCATTCTTCTTGCTTCAGCCTCCCACGAGCTGGGAATAGCGGTGTGTGCCACATCGCCCAGTCTGTCACATATTTTGATATGTGTACACACTGCAGAACAGCTAAACTGAGCTAATTCATGTGTGTTATCGCTTGGGGTTATTTTTTCTTCGTGATGACAACTCTTAAGTCAACTGAACCCTTTTTGCTTTTTAAGAATGGTTTTTGTTTTATATCACAATGTTTAAAAAGACTGCGCGCAAGGTAAGGAGCGGGAGACTGAGGCAGGAAGGTTGGAGCTGGCAGAATTCTACAAGAAATACAAAGAAGACCTAATGCCGACAGTCCTCAAACTATTCAATGAAATTGAAAGGGAAGCAATCCTTCCTAAGTCATTCCTGGAAGCAAATATCACTCTAGTACCAAAACCTGAGAAAGACCCAACTAAAAAAGAGAACTATAGACCGATCTCCCTAATGAACACAGATGCAAAAATCCTCAATAAAATATTGGCAAATAGGATCCAGCAAATCATCAAGAAGATTATACACCATGACCAAGTGGGATTCATCCCAGGAATGCAAGGATGGTTCAACATACGCAAATCAATAAATGTAATCCACCATATCAATAAAGCCAAAAATAAGAATCACATGATCATTTCTATAGATGCAGAAAAAGCCTTTGATAAGGTCCAACATTTATTCATGATAAAAACTCTACAGAAAATTGGAATAGATGGTCTTTACCTCAATATAATAAAGGCCATTTATGACAAACCAACAGCCAGCATCATACTAAATGGCCAAAAATTGAAAGCCTTTACTTTAAAATCAGGCACAAGACAAGGATGTCCTTTATCACCACTCCTATTTAATATAGTACTGGAAGTACTAGCCAGAGCAATTAGGCAAGAAAGAGAAATAAAAGGGGTAAAGATAGGAAAAGAAGAAGTTAAGTTGTCATTGTTTGCAGATGACATGATACTCTACATAGAAGACCCCCTAAGCTCCATTGAAAGACTCTTAGATACAATAAATAAATTCAGTAATGTGGCTGGATACAAAATCAATACTCAGAAATCAATAGCATTCCTATACACAAACAACAAAACCACAGAGAGGGAAATAAGGGAAACTGGACTATTCACATTAGCAAGCAAAAAAATGAAATATTTAGGAATTACTCTTACGAAAGAAGTGAAAGACTTATACAGTGAAAACTATATTACACTGAAAAAGAAAATTGAAGATGATCTCAGAAAATGGAAAGACATCCCTTGCTCATGGATAGGAAGAACAAACATTGTGAAGATGGCCATTCTCCCAAAACTCTTATACAGATTCAATGCAATCCCAATAGAAATACCATCAACATACCTTATAGATCTAGAGAAATCACTCCTAAATTTCATCTGGAACCAGAAGAGACCTAGAATCGCAAAAGCAATTCTAAGCAGCAAAGACAAAGCAGGAGGCATCACAATCCCTGACTTGAAATTATACTACAAAGCAACAGTAGTAAAATCAACATGGTATTGGAATCAAAACAGAGCTGAAGATCAATGGAATAGATTAGAAGATACAACCACAACTACAAACACACTCAATCACCTTATCTTCGATAAAGGAGCCAAGCAGGTTCACTGGAAGAACGACAGTCTCTTTAATAAATGGTGCTGGAAAAACTGGCTCTCCATTTGCCGAAAACTAAAGCTAGACCCATGTCTATCACCATGTACTAAATTAAAATCTAAATGGGTCAAAGATCTGAATATTAAAACAGAAACGCTAAATCTATTGGAAGACAAATTGGGTAGAAACCTTGGAGACATAGGAGTAGGTAGAGAATTCATGAATAGGACTCAAACTGCATGGGAAATACTTCCCAGAATCAATAACTGGGACCACTTCTTATTAAAAAGTTTTTGCATGTCAAAAGAAATCTCCAGCATAGTGAAAAGAAAACCCACAAACTGGGAAAAGATTTTAGTGAACTCTCTCTCAGACAAGGGACTCTTGTCTAAAACATATAAAGAATTAAAAAAACTCAGACCTTCAAAATTCAAAGATCCAATCCAAAAATGGGCATCTGTGATGAATACGCAATTCTCAGATGAAGAAATGCAAATGGCAAATAAATACATGAAAAAATGCTCATCATCATTGGTCATTAGAGAAATGCAAATTAAAACCACACTGAGATACCATCTCACTCCTGAAAGAATGGCCAGGATCAAGAAAACCAACAACAACAAATGCTGGAGAGGCTGTGGGGAAAAAGGAACTCTCCTGCACTGTTGGTGGGAGTGTAGACTGGTACAGCCTTTGTGGAGGTCTGTCTGGAGGTTTCTCAAAAAGTTGGGATTGGAAATCCCATTTATTCCAGCTATTCCACTTCTAGGCATATTCCCAGAAGAACTGAAAGCATCATACCACAGGGATATATGTGCACCTATGTTTATAGCAGCACAATTTGTAATCGCCAGATCTTGGAAACAACCCAAGTGTCCATCAACTGAGGAATGGATAAAAAAGTTGTGGTATTTCTATACAATGGAGTATTATTCAGCTATAAAGAAGGATCGCATTGAGATATTTATCAATAAATGGGCGCAGCTTGAGACCATACTCATAAGTGAAATAAATCAATCTCGCATGTATGAATACCGAATAGTTTCCCTAATGTAAGTAATGATTCAAATATATAAAAATATGTGATAATCATGATTCCCCATTATGTGGCCTTGAAGCCTTATAAAATTTTCACTTATTAATTAGAAAGGCTTTACTCTGGGCTTTTTGATATGGAAATATTTGAAGCTATAGTATGTGAAGTTTTATCCAAATATTTTAAGGAAAAAGACAGACACTATGGTAACTACTATTCTTTAAAAAAATTATTTAGCTATTTCTTATGTTTATTTTAATTAAGGGAAAAACTTAAAAAATTAGGATATATAGTAGTAACTCTTTTTGATCTCCTATTAACTTGTTTTGAAGTCCTGTAATACTCCCAAGATCTTGTTTTGACTGATTAGACTCTGTTCCATTCTGTGCGATAGTAGCAAGTTTGAAGGTATAAGCAACTAATTTGAAGGCAATAAGATTCACAAAGATGCCCATTCTGGTTTGACTATTGTCTCCTTTGGAAGTCCTGTAATGTTCACAATGCCTACGTTTTATTGGTCTTGTTCTCCACTGTTTTGTCCGGCTTTATAATATCTAATGAGATGGACAATTCCTTTTAAGGAAACAAGAGACAATGTTGATAACCATTGTTGATGACCTTGTACTCTGTTCTACATCATGTGCTATGTCTATCCTTGGTTTTGACTTACAGCTTTGTTTTGCCATATTTGACTTTATTCTCTCACCCCCAAAAAAGTAATAAGAACTAAGGAGTAATAAAATCCAAAATGTGTAAATTTTGTTATAAAAAAGAGAGGGAGGGGAAAAAAAAGAGATCTAACGGATATAACAACAAGTGTGTTTAGGGATGTTAAATAGCTGACTATATTAATGTTTTTGGATCATTGAACACAGCTGTTTGCAGTCTCTCTGTTTGAATGTCTACTTTGTATTCTTTGATACTGTGATTTGAGCAACTATTTCCAAGATGATATTATGTAATCTATTAACAGGTGATTTCTTACTGTTATGTTTTTTTTTTTGTAGTTCTGTATTATGTGTAACCTTACACTGCTTTGTTTTGTTTTGTGTTTTTCTCTTTTTCCTCTTAAATAAAAAAAAAAAAAAAAAAAGGAAGGTTGGAGCTGGCCAGGGGCCACCCGCCAAATGTCACCCGGGGGTGGGCGTGGCCGGGGGCAAAGCTTCAGCGCTTGGCTGGCGGTTGGTCCTGCGCTGGCGGTTGGTCCTGCTCGCGGCTAGCAGGACCCCCTAGGTCTCGAGGGACGGATTCTAAACCACTGCACATCGCCCAGGAGACCCCAGTGATGGCACTGTGGACTCGCCTGTATGGCCGCGTCCTGGAAAGCTCTAGGGTAAGTGGGGCCAGAACTTGTACAGCACCCGGTGAGGTGCTAGAAATCATCGTGGTCAGGTGTGCGGTCGCGGGGATCTCTTGCTGGAGGGTCGCACCTGCCTGGGGTACTACTCTGGAAGTCTTCAGCGATCCCTGTCGCCCTCATTAGGCCCGTCTGTCTATGTGACACAATAGCCTCTCATGATCGTACCTCTCACCTTTCCTTCCTAACCATTCTCCACTGTACTGACCTGCTGTATTTCCATTGTGAAGCCTTCTTTTTTTTTTTTTTTTTGAGCTGTAAACTTAAGTTAGGTTGACTGAACAGCCACTGCAGTCCTTGAAAAACATCTCTCTTAAAAAAAAAAAAAAAAAAAAAAAAAAAGAAAAACATCTCTCTTGAGCCATAGCAAATCCAATTCCTTTCTGTGTTCACTAAATTAAGCCCAAGAATTCAGGCAGGCCTTCCCAGGAGCTGACTGCACACAGTCAATAAGATGTAAGATGTAAGATGCCTGTTGGATTTTGTACTTGTCAGTTTTCCTGGCTGTATACTGCTTCTGTGCTTTTCCTGAAAAAGGATTGAGTGGAATGGGCCCCTACCAGGAGATAGAAAAAACTAGGTAACAGAAGCGCACTTGTTTTCAAAACTAAAAAGTTTGCTTTTGCAAACAAAACCTCACATGGTTTGCTCTATTCTTTATAGGAGAAATAAGTAGCTCTCTTTGGGCCTTACATCTTCCCAGCATTGTTGTCTTCTTTAGTGTCTTCATGTGGTGGCTTTCTGCATTTAATGGGTGCCTGGGTGTATCTTCACAGAGTATTTGCATCCAAAGAATAACAGATCTGTGAATAAAGAGATTGTCAGCTTTCCTTTATTAGCTACAGATACTCATAAAGTTGTAGATTTGTGGGAACCTGTATTTTCCGTATAATGACTAGTCCTGTGTTTTTGTTCCAAAATGATGTGTGAGGTGATGCCCACCATCAGTGAAGAAGGCCCTTCAGGAGGAAGTGAAAACCATGGATCTGGCTGCCCTTCACAACCAGATGCAGATTCCCATTTTGAACAGCACATGATGTCCATGCTAGAAGAAACATACATTGCTTAGAGCACACTGATAGAGACTCAAGAAACATTGGCGTTGACCCAGGGGAAATTGCTCGAGGTTGGTCATGAGAGAGATTCGTTGCAGAGACAACTCAATACTGCGCTTCCACAGGTATGTGTGGTTTTCACCTGAAACTACAGGTTTTTTCTGTTACGTGTCTTTCTGTGGTACCATCTTTTGTTTTTGTACCTGTATATTTTGTGTAACCAACCACTTGTCAAATGATAGTTCCTAGTGTTTGTAAGCGCATGCAGAGTTCCTGGGGATTCAGCTACTTAGGGCAAACAAACTAGTGTTCTGTAAAGTCATGTGAAAATATCTTACTACTTTCACTCTTCGCTGAGGAACTGCTAAAGATTTGGGAATGCACTTTGAAGGTTTTTTAAAAAGACTTGAAACAACAACCAAGCGGCATGGTCCTTGGTTTCTTTGATTCTGTTTTGTGAGATCTCTTGCTTAATGTAGGCTTCCCATGGCTTGTATCTCAGGAATTGTATGTGTGTTTAGGATTGTATCTCAAGGATTTGCAGTTTTCTAATGAAATTTGGTAGATAATAATTTTTTTTTTTGTTTTTGGTATCAGGAATCGAACTGAGGACCTTGCTCTTGCCAAGCAGATGCTTGTTGCTGCTGAGATATTATCTCTAGCCCTTGAAATTTGGTAGACAAGGATTGATTTCACAGAGAAAAATTTTTACAGACTATCTTTACAGAATACCGGTGTTTGTAAATCACATTTGTAATAAGGGATAGAAAACTGGAAATTTATTCTTTAGGAACTTTCTCCTTTTAGACTAGACTTCTAAGTTTAAAACAACTGGGCTGGGGATTTAGTTCAGCAGCATAAGCTTCTGCCTGGCAAGCATAAAGTCATGAGTTTGATCCCCAGTACCAAAAACAAATATATAAAAGTAAAAACCACCTCAAAGTTGGAAACAACTGTACTTCTTTCTTTAATTATATTACATTCAGCCCAGTATCTCAAAACTGCCTCTTGTGGAATTAAATGGAGACTGAATGGCATGTGAAGGGAGAACATAGTAAAACTAGAAAAATGTAAGGTAAATGGTACACAGCATAGTGGGAGATAAGTAGCTTATTATTTAGGTGTTTATAAGCCATCGAGTACCATTTTACTTGTTCATAATAGTTGCCTTTCTGGTCCATTCAGGTAGACCTGAATAAGCATACATCTATGCTGTCATGATGAGTCTGCAGTGATAAATCGGCAAATGAACACTAGCCCTAATGTATTTGTTGGCTATAGTCAATTCTCCTGAAAGATTAATAAGCCAAGCATTTGAATTTCCTTTTTAGAAACAATAATTTGATGTTAGTGCTATATGTTTCTTTTGTTGGTTAGAGAATCAGTAAATTGTTTGCTTTTGTGGAGCATAGGGTTGAAGGAGGGCTTCATTTGTGTTTGCCTAAGTGCTCTGTCACTGAGCTCCATCCCTCCTAGTCACATTAAGATTTTTCTCATTGGAATCTTATAAATGTCAGAGTTTATTTAGGTCAGATTTTACTATAGAAGATTATAAGAACTGGCCAACTTGTATTTGTGTAGGGAGGTAATGGGGAGCAGTTTATGTGAAGGATTTTATAGTATATACAGGTATTTGTAAATTTGTGATGGTTTAGTTTTGTTTTTGTAATATATTGACTATAATTTGAGATAGATCTACAGTTTATCTAATACATAGTTAATCTATTCAGTTTTTGGAAAAAACAGGCAGGCAGGACCTGAGAGGGAAGTGACAGGAGTTTTGTAGAGCTGGTTTCAGGCCGTGGGTGTTGTCACACCTGCTGATGAGGTGGTTGCCTGGTGATTTGTTTCTGGGGGGTTCTCAGTGTAGCAGCCTGGAAATGCTTAGTTTAGTGCATAATGTGATGATGCCACCAGGTCCCGTCACCATCTGAGCACCTGATGCAGCATTTCAGAAACACAGAAACCATGAAACAAACTTGTTTTGGTCCTTTTCCTTTCCTGGAATCAGGCTCATCTTTGGTAGTTGTTTGACTAGAGAGGCCTGTCAAGTAAGTGCCCGGTGTACTTTTGGCACATTAGGTAGGCAGGTCAGAATGTGCCCTACTTCTAAAAATTGAAGTAAAAGGCTGGGCATGGTAGTGCATTCCTGGAATCTTCAACCCTTAGGGAGGCCAAGGCAGGAGGATCAGAAATTTGAGCCCAGCCTGAGAAACTTAGCAGTTGTCTTAAATAAAAAATAAAAAGAGAGCAGAGAATGCTCCTCAGAATGAAGGCCCCCAACTATAGCAAATATCAGAAATCTTCTCAGCGAATTTTCCATAGAGCCAACACACTTGAGAAACAGTTCCTACATCAAAATGAAACACTGGAAGCCCCTGCCTAGTTTCCAGTACAGGTGTTTCTCATTTAATTACCTGCTTAACAACTGTTTGGACTTCCCTGCTGCTCAGACTTATGCCTCCTCTTTTTTTATTTTTTGTAAAGTTCTGCACATCTGGTTCAGAGACTCTCAATGGTTTTTTTTTTTTTTTTAGTTTGTAATGTTTATACAGTACTATACTTTTTCTGATGGTACTCTATGATACTGTAGTTTTATGTTCTGTTGTACATTATATACTGCATAGAAGTTGTGCAAATAAAGGCAAAGTCATCAAGTTGGAGTTTCCTTTGACCATTTCTTTGTGCTGAGTGTTGTAATGTATGTACTATATACAGCTCCTCATTTAGCAACTAATTCTTTTAACGCTGTACTGACAGGAATAGGACTTGGTGGTTAAATGAGGAATCCTTGTACCTTTCCTCCAATTCTAACAATGGTCTTGATCTCTCACCATTGATTATTTTTGCTTCTTCTTGACTAAATGAAGTAAAATAGTACCTATATTGTGTTTCTTGGTTGTTTCATTGTTCATGAGATTTACCTGTGTCCTATATTTTTTGCCTATTCTCATCTGTTGTCTGGTAATCCAGCATACCAATATATCAAAATTTGTTCTTTTCTATTCATGAACATTCAGGTTGATTCCAGTTTTTATCAATTCTATCCTGAGTATTCTTGTGTATTATTTCTTTTGTGTATGAGAGTGAAGCTATGGCTGAGCATGGCGACATATGCCTATAAACTCAGCAGGGCAGAATGTTGAGGCAAGAAGACTGCGAGTTTGCGCCCCTCTTGGGCTTTATACTGAGAACCTGTCTTTTTTGGGGGGGAGGTAATGGGACTTGAACTCAGGACGTTGTGTTGCCAAACAGGAGTTGTGCCACTAAGCTATATCCCTGGCCCTCGGATCCTTTAAAAAAAAAAAAAAAAAAAAAGCAGAGAACTGTGGAGTGATAGATATCCCATGCATTTGTTCAGCCTTAAGAGATATTGCTAAAAGTGGCATTGTACTGACACCAACAGCATGTGAGAAGTCAGTGCGCATATCATCTTTACCCCTGACACTGTTCATTCTTTTTTTTTTTTTTTTAAACTGGTACCAGGGCTCGAACTCATGACCACCTGCTTCAAGGCAGGCACTTATGCTGCTGAGCTAAATCCCCAGCCCCCATTGTTTATTCTTTTATGTTAGCTTTTCTGGTGCCTACTTAATGGGAGAGGTGACTTAGTGAGAGAGGTACCAGAGATCGAACTCACGACTACTGCTTGCAAGGCAGGTGCTTTTGCCACTGAGCTAAATGCCCAGCCCCTTATCATGTATTTCATGTATTTCTTTAGCATTTCTACTTCTTCATCTGAGAAGGGTCTGTTCATTTTTGATGCCCATTTTTTGAATTTGGGGGTGGTTCTGTATTTTTGAGCTCCTTATATATTTTAGGCATTAATCCTTTGTCTGAGGAACAGCTGGCAAAAATGTTTTACCATCGCGTGGGTTGTCTCTGCACTCTCTTGGTAGTTTCTCTTGCTTTTCAAAAGATTTTGAATAAGATGCAGTCCAAGTTGTTGATTATTTCTGATAGAAGCTTTGCAATTGGGGTTTTTTTCCATGAGATCTTTGCCTATACCAAAGTCTTCAGTTCTACCTGTCTTCCAGCAGATTGGAGTTGTTTCTATTTTCATATTGAAGTCTTTGAGCTATTTGGATTTTAGCTTAATGCCTGGGAAGGGATATGGGTCTAGTTGTAATCTTTGGCATGTGGAAAGCCAGTTTTTTCCAGCACCATTTCTTAAAGAAGCTATCTTTCTTCCAGTGAGTATGTTTGGCTCCTTTGTCAAAGATAAGATGATTGAGTATGCTGGAGTTGTTTCTACATCTTAAAATCTGTTCCATTGATCCTTGAGTCTGGTTGTTTTGTTTTGTTTTGTTTTGTTTTGCCAGTTTTTATCACAATAACTTTGTAGTATAATTTGCAGTCAAGGATTGATTGGATTCCTTTCTGGTTTTGGTATCAGGATAATACATGCTTCCAGGAATGAATTTGGGAGTATGGCTTCTCTTCAATTTCTTAAAAGAGACTGAAGTAGTAGTATTAGGTTTTCTCTAAATTTCTTGTGGTGTTCAGCAGTGAATCTGTCAGGGCCTAGGGTTTTCTTTATTGATGGGTTTTTAATTACATCTTCACTTTCACTGACAGATACTGATTTATTTAGAATTTTTATACCTTCTTGATTCAGCTGTGGTAATTCATATGTAACTAGGAATCTGTCTATTTCTTCTTTGTTTTCTATCTTACAATACACATTCTGAAAGTAGGTTTGATTTTGAGGATCTTCTGAATATCTGTAGGGCTTCTTGTGATTTCCACCTTTTGATTCCCAATTGTATGTGTTTGGGTCTTTTTTGTTTTTAATAAGGTTGGCTGAGAGTTTGTCAAGTTCATTTAATGTAACACAGAACTCTTTGTTTCATTGATTCTTTGTATTATTTTGTTAGTCTCCATTGCTTTAACTTCTGCTCTGTTCTCTATAACATCCTCCTTTTTACAAGCTTTAGGCATGACCTGCCCTTGATCTAAAAGCTTGAGGTTCAACAGTAGGTTATTTGAGCTTGCTCTGTTTTTCAGCTATGGGTATTCAGTGCTGTAAATTTCCCTCCTAGGACTGCTTTCATTGTGTTCCTTATGTTCTGTTACAATGTATTGGCATTATCATTTAATTATAGATACTATTTAATTTCATCTA